TTTGTGGCAGCTGCCTCTTGTGCTTGTCAAGGGGTGTGGATGAGGAGAGTATTGGAGAAGCTTGGTCATTCTCAAGGCGAGTGTACCACTGTGTTATGTGACAACAGTTCTACCATTAAGCTATCCAAGAATCCAGTCATGCATAGACGCAGCAAACACATTGATGTAAGGTTTCATTTCTTGCGTGATTTGACCAAAGATGGAGTTGTTGAGCTGAAGCATTGTGTCACACAAGAACAAGTTGCAGACATTATGACAAAACCACTTAAGTTGGATGTGTTCTTGAAGTTGCGTGAGTCAATGGGTGTGTGTGTGGTACCACAAGTAAACTGAAAACTTTACTGCAATCAGTTTAGGGGAAGAATTGTTGGGGTTGTCAGAGTCAGAGTTGAAGTTGTCAAAAGTTCATTCAGTTAAATAAATCCTATTATTTAGGACATGTAGGTAGAGTTTGACAATTTCCTTATCCATTTACCTCGTTATTAGGATCAGTTTGTTTGGGTTGTTTAACGTGGGTTGTTTGTTTCCACTTTTATCTCTTTGTAAGGCTTATATAAGCCAACAACTTATTTTTAATTTAATTACATTCGTTCAGATATTTTTCTAAAATTGCTTTGTGCTTAGAGTTTACAACATCCATCAAGCTCTTAATGGCATGCTTACTAGTTGCCATAAATCCCAAACGTTTGAAAACTGAAGCGTTTGAAAACTGAAGCATTTGAAAATTGAACAACCAATGTGGACTATCAAGGTTTAAAACTGATGAAAATCAAAAGGTTATTTACGTTACTCATGTAACGAAGTTTTACAAGGGATATATATACTTTTGAAAAATTATGGGTGCGCTTATAATTTACTATCTTTCAACAGGTTTGTTAGAATTCTAAAGAGAAAGGCTAAGAATTCAAGAGAGAGAATGTAAAGAATGAAATTGTATTTCAAGATTTTATTTTCCGCTGTACAAGAACTCTATTTATACTTACAATACATGCTAGAATCATGCTAATTACTAAAATCAAGCTTTGTTTAATTCAAGCCATGGATCAAGCTTTGCTTGATTATTGCTAACTCCACCCCTCAAGCTCAAGGTGGTAACTTAGATTCTAGTTTGAGATTGGAAACTAACTCCGTGAATCATCTTACGTGATGAGCTGATGTAATCGGTTGAAATGAGACAAAATAGTTGATCCTGAAACAGAGTCAATGTTGACAAGAAAATCAAACGATGATATGGCAAGTCAATGATGACGTGGCACCAATGACATGACATAATTCAACAATGATATGGCAAGTCAACAATGATGTGGCATCAATAACGTGGCATCGATAATGTGACAAAAGCCAACAATGACTTGGCGAGTCAACGATGACATGACAAAAGCCAACAATGGTGTGATGAGTCAATGATGGCATGACATTGATGACATCACAAAGGCCAACAATGTCCTTGCGAGTCAAAGATAACGTGGCAAAAGCCAACAATGACCTGACGAGTCAACGATTGTATGACATTGATGACATGGCACAAGCCAATAATGACCTAGCAAGTCAACGATGACGTGGCAAAAACCAATAATGGTCTAGTGAGTCAACAATGACATGACATCGATGGCGTGGCAAAAGCCAACGATAAAATTCTAGAGAAAATTTTCCTAAACATGCATATAACTATAGAAATAGCAACTCATTGTCCTAACCTAGGCTCTGATACCATGCTAGAATTCTAGAGAGAAAGGCAAATAATTCAAGAGAGAAATGTAAAAAATAAAATTGTATTTCAAGTTTGTATATTTTCCAATGTACAAGAGCTCTATTTATATTTACAATACATGCTAGAATCATGCTAATGATTTATGCTGATGGCTAAAATCAAGTTTTGCTTGATTGAAGCCATGGATCAAATTTTGCTTGATTGTGGCTAACAGGGTTGATTAATAACCTCCATTGTATTTTGAAACTATTCGTTAGCTTAATCATCTTGATTGTTTTTGGTAAGAAAAATATCACGCTTATTTTTTTCGCTTTCTAATGAATTTCATCATATCAAGCTTGCAAAAGCACTTAGGGAATCACACTATATCTAGGTAAGATCATTCATCTGAACTGAAAATCCTTATATCCTTACATTTTTTTTTTTTTTTTAGTTAGTAAAAAATGTTTAATGTGGTCTTGTAATTATAATTGTGTTGATTGATAGTTTATGACAATATTGTTGTAAGATGTTTGTGTGAATTTATACCATAAAGTTTGTTATGTTGTTACAATAAAAGAGATAATGTGCTACACATCTCGTGATCAAGAAGGAAATTCACACAGTTAGTGTGAATTTCCCAATTAATGTGGTATATCACGTAAATTGGATCGTCATATGCACATGAACTAGTTCGTGTGATCCTCATGAGGGTTGTGAAAAACGTACATCTGCAACCGGTAGCCACAACCAAAACACATAAACTTTCACAAATATATATAAAACACATTAACTTGCATTTTGATAAAGCTCTAAAACCCATAAAACCTAATCCAAACCCCTAAGGCCCTAACTTTAATCCTAAACCGTAAGATATTATACTAAATCGGATAAACAAGTATTTGCCATATTAAAAACTAACATTCTTACTCAACTCTCTAACAGTTTCCGATTGATTCAAGCAAAAAATTCATTCATCAGTTAAGTGTCACTATTAAAAACCGTCTCGCCACCAATGATTCAATAAAGATTAACTCACAACCTAATCTTACAAACTTTCTTTTATAATCTCGATGTGGTAACTAGCAATTGGTCGGTTCGTAATTGGATAGACATAACCTATTGTTGGGTCGACGGGACCCATTACAAACTGTCATGTCGGAGTTTGTGAAAGAAAGCTTGTAAGATTAGGTTGTAAGTGTAGTATTACCCCCAATAATTTGGCCAAAAACCTCAATATTTCAATAATCTAGTTATTTAAATCAACAATCTATAATCGTGATCTAGGTTGAAAACAAGATTGGATTTTCAAAAATAAAAAGTGGCTCCAAAAGTTGTTTTTTTTTTTCTCCCCCAAAACTAGAGAAAAGTGAATAAAGATTGATTTTTATATGAGGGTTAAATTGGAAAATCGCCATTTGGTGGTTATATTTGTATAGGATTGAGAGAGTTGATCAATTATTATAGCCCTATGACTAATTTAATTAATTACCCTTTATTTTATTATATAAAATTTATATGATGATTTACATCAATTCGTAAACCCTAATAATTTCTCAAATTTGAACTAATAGTCAACTTTGAACTTCTGGTCACATCTCGTTAAGTGTGATTATGTGAAATCAAAGATAGTATTTTCAAAATATACTCATTATAATATTTAAAACTATAATTATAAAGAGATTACTTTGAAAGATTTTTTTTTTTTTTAAAAGTCAATACAAAAAATAATTTAAAAAAATTTCAATGATAAAAAAAATTGACTTTGAAAGACTGATAATTTCTTGTTATCTGCAAAAATACCCCCAACAGATACGTTTATTTACCAAATTGCCACTTCATTCGACGTTTCTAGCTCCAAATCTCCGCGACAATCGGATAAAACAACAAAACTAAAAAACAAAAACAGATTTGAAGCTTTGGAGCTCTTTCCCGTTTGCGTGCGCTAGCCGACTGCTTTTGACTACAAATTTTCCTGCATTTTCTTTCACTTTCTCGTCAACTTTCTGGGAAAACCTTCCGATCAGGTAACGAATACTCACACTTCGCTTCTACTTCGTACTTTTCTCTCTTACTCTCTGTCGATACAAAACTTAAAAAAAAAAAAAAAGAAAAAAAAAAAAACAAATCAAAGGTCTCTGCCTTAAGACGCGTTTTGTAAAGAAAATTTTCCTTCGGTTTCCGAGCAACCAAACGGACAAAATGTGTCTCGCTTGGTTTATTTATTTATTTATTTTAAATCTCAACTTTGTTTACTAATATTCTCTTTTTGATTCGTGAATAGAGCTAATGTTATTGTTTTTGTGTGCATAGTTTGATTCTTTGAGATCATATTTAGGTTACCGGATGCAACATCCCGGAAACGTTAGGGGAGGTCTTGGTAACTTTGGACATCAGAGCTTTAACTTGCAATGTGACAATTTTTAACCTAAAACAAAGTCTTAAGTTGTAGCATAATATTTGATTCCTCATTGATGTGTGAAACTTAACGATTGGTTGATGTAATTGGCTTATCTAAATTTGCTATTTTCGAGCTTAATGTAAGATTTGTTGATTGTTGTGGTTTAGATAGATGAAGAATAAAGGAGATGAGAAGTTGCGTGCTAGACTCTCAAGGAAGGAGCTTCAATCTTTGTGTAAGAACTTTGGTTTGCCTGCTAATAGGTCGAGTTCAGAAATGGCTAAATCTTTGGCTTCTTTCTTTGAGGTACTTGATCAATTCTTTTAGTTTGTGTAGGTGAAACCATCAATTCGGTGCATTGTCATTGACACTGGATGCTTTATTCATTCTGTAGTGTTTTTATTTGCAATGGACTTCATGTTCATTTACAGTAAAGAGTTTTTTTTTTTTTTTAAATATTTACCAGCACACGATGGACCTTTATGTTTTTTATGCTAGGAAGTATTATTAATATTGTTTATTTAGAAAATTTACATTATGCATCGACACTAGGTGGCTCTACAAATATAGTGGTTAATTGAGTTTTTGGATGGTTTGAGTAACCTGCTATATGTGTGGATCAAGGTCAATTTCCAAGATTATGGCAAGTGGACTGTTCTATGGTTAAACTTGCGTCTGAACCTTATTATACTTGAAGTTGACTGCTTATTTGGAGCAAATTTTTCCACTTACATGAGATCACATTATCATTGATGAATTGATGACAAGGACATGGTGTTTGTTTTGGTGTAATTGGGGCTTTGGAGTTTAGAGGGTTTTGTTGATTTCAGCCTAGGTGAAGTATATTGGGTCAAATAGTTAGACAAGTTTTATTAAGATGTTTTCCCTCCATGATGAAGCCTTCTCAGAAGGAAAGTCTTGTAACATGATGAAGATGCCATTTAAGGTTTCCACATTAATTCCCAACATCTGGATGCATATCTGTAATCTTTGTTGGTAACATGAAAGAGTATGCTTCCAGATACTCATTACATTGGAGGGATGTGTAGTCTCACAATACATGTCATCTATTAATTGTCCAATGAGAATCCTCAGGGCATGCTTTTGACAGCATAGATTCTTTCACAAGTTCTAAGAATTGTGGTTAGAATGCATCAAGAGAACTACATCCAGGAGCAACTTATTTGGCTGGAGTAATCCTGTTGCCTTACAAGTTCTGTGAGACTTTTCCCCCATTGAGAACAAGCCATGTTTCTTGTTTTCAATAATATATGTCAATCTCTCTTGTTTTCAATAATATATGTCAATCTCTCTTGTTTTATGCCTTTTGCAAGTATGAAATTATTTCTTAGCACTTAGTAAAAAAAAAAAAAAATTATTTCTTAGCATTTTTCGACTGGTAGTTTGTATTCTGAAGCAACTATAATATCATTTTGTTCATAGACAATAACTTTTTAAACCACCTATTTTAATTGAGATTCAATCAAATAACAGTTTAATAGTGAGTGGGTGAACTTCATGATTTATATAAGCTAGTGCTGGTTTTGGTATAATCAGCCTGGAGGTCTGGCTTGACTTTTTTCTTTTATCTTTCTTTACATGGCTTCTAAGTTCTTACTTACATGTGCTAATGTTGATGTAACATTGGTTCGCCATCTTGTAAATCTATATTTCTTTAAATATTAAACTCACTTCGTACTTATTCTTAGTACATAGGTGCTCATTGTTTGTCCACTGTTTTGTTGTTTACTTATCATGAACTTTTCTATAACTAATTTCCTTCTGTTGACATGCTTTTTATTTCAGTTTTTAAATTAATTTATTTTCCCTTAACATGTGAAATTTAAACTTCCTTTTTCCAAGCCAATATATACACCATCTTGATGTCTGACAAATTTGCAGAAGAATACGAGTTCAATACTCTCTGGAGAAAGATTAGGTGAGATTAGAGAGGTCTCATTTCCTGCATATTGCATACCAGGACTGCTGTCTGGAGCACCGTTTAATTCTTTGGAGTATCCCAGAGAAGGTGTGTACCACTTAGCAGTTGGTTAATGAAACTGGACTTCAATTTCTTAATTTTTTTTAAAGTGCTTGAATAATGATTTGGTGCTTCTGCAGATAGCCATGAACTGCACTCCTGCTTAATAGAGGGAGGGAATAAAAGGAATTTTTCTCCAACTTTTAGAAGTAATGAATTGGGTCATTGCTCGGGGGATAAAACTTATGATGGGGTATGATACTCTTCATGGATTTATATGTTCCTGTGCATCAATTTTGTTAGCAAAAAGTCTGTTGACTCAAGATAGAACCATATAGATATCTGTTTTCTTTTTCTTCTTTTAACTTACTAGAGAGATCGCCGGAGAGGTCCATCCGTCCGTGTTTTGGCTGACTTTAATTCATGTAATGTGCTGCATTTGTTCCCCCCTCCCCCTTTTAATTTTAAAAACAAGTAGTTCTTTTCCCGGATCATACATGGTGGAGGATTTCTTGACTGCTACTTTTCACATTAAGTGAAGGCAAGATAAGAATTACTTTAAAACACAATTTTTTTTTCCTTGTAAGAAATACGGAAAGTCATCTGTACTTCTAGTGCTTTGGTTCTCATAAATTTGAAGAATGAAAATGTTATCTATATGTATCTGTTATAGCACTGGAATCTATTGTTCACCAAAAATTTTATGTGTGCGTGAATACAGGAAGGCCGTGGTTGCTCCATGTTTTGTTTCCAGGAATCATCAAACTCTCAGTTTGTTTCTCGATGGGCTAGGAATGATTTCAACAGTCAGGTGTCTCCCACAACAAATTTGTGCCAGGATTCTTCAGGTATTGCAAGAGATAACTGGGTGGAGGATATGTGCCCAATTCAACATACAAATGTAACAGATGTAAACTCTGATTCATGCCCTAAGGCAGACATTTTCCCTTCTTCTACAAACACTTTTAAAGCAGCTTCTTCATCTTCTTTTGAGTTTTATGTCCGTAATGAAGAGGGGATTAACCTTTGTGTTGACCTGAGTTCTAACCCATCAGACTGGATTCAAAAGTTGAAAAGTGAAGTTAATATTTGTGAGAACATGTGCCAGAACAAGTCTTCTAGTTTTCATCAGGAGCTTGGGCGATTTGGAGAGAGTAACAAACAGCTAAAAAATTCCTTTCTACAAAATATAGATGCTCAACAAGTCAAGGATGGCAATGTGCCATCTGTATCTTCCCCAAGTAAATTTATGAAAGAAAGTAAAAATGCAATGCTCAATATTCCTGATGGAGGTGATGGATCTTTAACATCTATTGCAATAAAACCAAACAGCAATGCTGTGGTTGTGTCCGAGCATTTACAGGAAGATAAAGGACTTGTCTCTTCTGAACCCAATTCTGATGCACGTGATGGTACTCGTTCTTGTACTGATGAAAATGGATGCTCAACAACTGTCGATTCAGATGTTAATACTCCTGGGAAAAAAATATCTAGAAATTCTTTGGTAAGTATATTAGATTGTCCAAAAAGTCGTGCCACATTGGAGCATCAGAATTCAAAGCCCAGCAGTGAAATCTGCGAGTACTCAACGGTGGAGAACAGTTGCAGCCTTGCAAATTCTCAGGTGGTAATTGCTGGTAGCTCAACTGGTGTTTCTTTGGAGATGCCGCTGTTAAAGGCTGAGATTCAGCGGAAAGATGCATCATCCATGCCTTGTAAAAATGGTGAATTCATAGATTTGGTTGATTCAATGGACAATACAGAAACAGAACAAAGTGCATTAGCCAATTCAAGTGAGCCTGATATTGACATTGGCAGGAATCATATGCCTACATCTGTTGAAGATTGGGTATGACCCTATTCTCTTCTAATCTGCAACAGTGCTTCTACCATAAGTGCATTAATTATCAGCATATTATTGCACATTGATTCAGTGAATTAAAGGACAGTAATTTAGAATTGATCATATCGCTAGATACTGCTCACAATGTTTGCATGCCTGTACTGTGGTTTCTTGTCACACACATTTCTTGCACTGATTTTATGGACATTGTGGAGAAGTTATGGGCTTGAGAACAATATTGTGGAGAAATGTGTTTTGTTATGATGTCTCATAATCTATATATCTAAGATGAGTTGAAGATTTCATGGTATTCAAGCAATAGAAAAAAAAAAAAAAAAAAAAAAAAAAAAAAAACTTGAAAGATAAGTGAAAGCTAAATATGATTTTTTGATTTACATTTGCACTGTTTTGATTGCAGAAACCACATTTGGCGACTTTTTGGGTTATTTGAAGTGAAAGGAATTGAAGAATGTTTTAAGATGCTTATGATGAGGGGTTTGATTTTTGGTTGACATCTTTGTGGGCTTCAATTTCTATGCAATCTTAGGATGCTTCTTTGTTATTTTTTATTTTTACTCATTGGAATGCTGTTTGGGTTCAATTTTGTATTCTCCTTTGTTGAACTTTATTAGAGATGTAAAATTTTGCTTTGTTGGGTTGACTTGGGGAACCTTCATTGTAACATTATTCATATTTCTTAATAAAGTTCTTTCTCTTTCTTATAGAAAATAATTAAATGAAATAATGAATGAGGAAAAAGGAAAAAAATTGGAAATCACACATTTCTGGTTGTGGTGTACTTGTTTGGAAATTTAATTTTTCAGACATATATGAGTGGTTTATTGTGTGATTTTAGTTGGACATTCTTATGATTTCCTATTATGAAAAATATTGTATGAGCTGGTTTCATAATCACCATTATTCACTCATATTGTCATATTATCATTATAATCTTAATCATCTATTAATTTTTTTATTCTGGAGTTGATGATTCATTTGTTTTCACGGAATGAAAGTGACACATTTTATGATTATATACTACCTAAGATTTATCACTCTGGGTCATTATAGAAATTCTATTTATTTCTTGAAGGAACTACATAATCCATCTTCCCAAATTTGTAAGTTTGTATGCACAACTGTGTAAGGGTTATGGTAATGTATTTTTGCTATCCACATCTACTGCTTCGTCATTTAGTTCTTTTTTGGGCAATAATTGAGTTGTTTATATGTTGATGGCTCCCAATAACTGAGTGGTTGTAGTGATGTAATTGCTTTTGTGATTCATTTTTGTTGTTTTCAGTTTCTTCTTGATTTATGTTTATTTGTGAGGCAGAACTTCATAGTATGAAATTCCCATGTTTCACAATTCTCTTATTTTGTGTGGACTTACTGATTCACAAGAATAGTATGATATATACTGCATAAGACTTATACATGGCAAACACCAGGAGACTGCTTAGGCAATTTGACTACCTTCAATGGATGCTTACTTCTTCACTAGGTTAATTTTATGAGTGGGAAATCTTTTTACTTTGAAAGCATTTTATTTTGATTATTCTCATCTCTTCATATTACGGCCTTTGCTTCTACTGGCTTGCCCAAGAAACAGGAAGCAAAAATAATTAGTGAGTCAGCTATTTTTCTGGCACAGTTTTAGGTGAATAATTAAAGATTGAAATGAGTAGTTTGTGTTATCTGTTCCCAAAATTTTGCTGCTAGGATATGTATTATGTTTATGCTTGGTATAATGCATGCACTACAAATTATGGCTATACTCTATTGTTTGCAGGAAGGGAATAAACCTGTTGATGGAGGGGAGAGCTCAGAGTAATTTTCTCTTCTCAAGGGAATTACATGTTCTTAATTTTATTTTTGTCATTCATCTTAGCATATATGTATATGCCTATTTCAGATGCTCACAAATGGATGATTCACTTGGCAAGATTTGTTTAAGGGTTCATAACTCGGGATCTAATGAAGAACATCAAAAAAAGAGGCCTCATATGGACAGTACGAGGATTTTAAGAAGTGCAAAGCGTTTTGCTGGGAAGGTCCTCCCGAGAAGGTCCACACGGCTGGTTCCTAAGGTTCTTCCTTGATACTTCCTTCTAGTCATGCAATTGCATAACATGACATCATTATGTTGATCTGCATATCCTTTTTATGAGGATCTTAAAGGTGCAAGAAACATAATCATCAAATCATGCATTAATCTTATTTAATTTCTATCCTCTATGGTCATTTGATTTTATTCATTTTCCCTGGATTGCTTTTCATTATACCCAAATTGAACAGGATGATCGCTCATTTATTTTTTCAGTGAATAAAACTGGATGCGAAGATATAAATGAGAACTAGAAAATGGGTATCTAGAGTGATTGATGTCTCTTGTTTTATCTATACGTGGAAAATTCTTGACTACTCTAAGGTGCATTAATGTTGTCTTTCTGACTGTGAAATTGTTTGAGAGCTGATGGTTTTGTTTGCAAATACAAGGACCTGGATTTTAGTGTGGTATTCTGTGTGTGACCCTTACACAATGCGCTGGTTCAACTGTTTAATTAGGCAATTTGTGCCTTGTTCTTTTCTGTGTTATTCCATTAAATTCAGGTCCATTGAATTTATAGGAGTTTGACTGGCAATGTAAACACCAATCTCCTCTAATTCCACCTCTCCCTCCTCACACCTTCAGTCTAGGGTTCTAGTGATGTTTGTTTCTTTCCTAATACCCACTGATTTTGCTTGTATCTGATGTGAAATTATGATGATATCGAACTGACCAACAAACCAAGCCACAAGATTTCACAATGGGGGAAAAGCTCAAATTAACTAGATCTACATTTTGTAGGCCTTTTATGTTTGAAATAGACCGTGAGTGGAATTTCTTTCTCCCATCTTTTCTTCAATCATTAAGTTACAGTATATCTAGTATCCTGCATGCACGTGAAACATTTGAGCCATGACCGTTTACTTGTAATTGCAATCTCACACTTCTATATTTGAAGTTTTCAATTATGTTATAGAAGAAATTAGACTGTGGTCTCGGAAACTATTTTTCTGAATAACTATATTTTCTCCAAAAACATCTTGAATTTTAATTTTTTTTCTCAGTAACTATCTTTGGCACCCTCCAGTAAGCCGATGACTATCATGCAGCGGACCACTTGTGAGTGACAACAATACATTTCATTATTTCGAAGCCTGAGTACAGATCATAGTAAGTATGAGGCTTTTCTTGATCTCACTTTCTGTAAAACATTGGTATTGTTTGATGTGAACGAAACTAATGTTTTGCGTGGTTTTTTGCATAGCATTTTAAGTGAATTTTCTGTTGTATTTAGTATTCAAATCAGTTGGTATCTCTAAAATATGGAAAATCTTTATTAACTGAATGACTTAACAATCTCAGGTCGATATATTTCAGGAATTAGATTTACGAGTCCAAGTTTTATACAACTTGTTTCTGAATGATTCCAAAGTCTTATAAATGATTAAATATCTTGGAGCTTGTCTTGTCTTCATAGTTTTGTTGCAGATATAAACTTATTCTTTGGTATCAACAAAAACATTTTTATGCTCATAAATAGAAATCCTAGTTTGTGATTCTCTTTTTAATGGTGTCAATGGCTGCAGGTTGCTACATTTTTTGAAGAACAATTAGACGTAATAAAATCTTCAGGTACTTAACACCTTAGAATTGGAATCCTCTCTCGCTACAGTCGCAAACGGCTGTAATCTGATGCAAGTAAATACATTAAATGTAAGATTTCTGTCAATATGTATGGAATTTTATGAATTGAACTTTGTAATTCTGTATATTCACCTGGATTTCATTGTTTTTCTTTCATCCGCACCTTGTTTTTGATCCTGTGAGTGTTGAGCATCAGGCTATGACCCATCAAATTTATTCATAGAAATTATTACTTAAATTCAGGCTGGATGACATTTTGACCCCAATATATTGTAGAAGGATAATTTTCCTCCCTTGGTTTCAGAAACACCCAATCTTTTCCCATTTTTCGAATTAATATACATTAAACTTATCCGTGGAAGGGCAATCTTGTCAATTCACCTCACGTATATAACATTATGCAGACAGAGAATCTATCCTAACTCACGGCGAATTGACAAGATTGTCCATTTATGGTTAAGTTTAACATCGTAATTTGAAAAATGGGGGTAAGATTGGGTATTTCCGAAACCAAGTGGGAAAATTGATAGTTTGCGGTAGATGGGGGGACAAAATGCCATTCAGCCTTTAAATTCATGTTTTCTTGTCGCGAAAGAGAGGGCAAAACAGTAATTAGAGTAACAAAGAAAATCATCTATGTAAAGGCAAATTTTTAATTGATTGATTCATTTATTATTAAAATATATGACGTAAACTGATTTGATTTTGATTTGTTAGAGGTACGAAATTTCATTAGTAAGTCATTGTAGGTTGAAATATTTGTGGACTTTAATCAAGTGGGCCTAGGGATTATGACACTACCCAGAAAAGCCTAGATCACCTATGGTTATAATTTACAAAAGCAATAATTAAATTAGGGAGCCATAATTTACAAAATCCATAGTTAAATTAGGGTTAGGTTAAGAAGTTCCTGTTTTTATTTATAATTTATAAAAATAATAATTAACTAGGGTAAAAATCAAGATCCCCCTTTTTTTTTTTTTTTTTTTTTTTTTGACACAATCTTTTAGAAGTTAAATTAATTCATTTGAGTGATTGATTATGTATATAGTTTTGACACTTCTTTTTTTTTTAGTTGTGAATTAATTCATTTGACATGTTTAAGTTAACTATTAATACTAATTTATATATATTATTTGTCTTTCAAATTAAAGAGATGCAAAAAGTTTTATGAATGTTAAAACATATTTAATATACGTCGTAAATCTTAGGTTTAATACTAATTTAAATACAATTATTTGTTTTAAAAATGAGAGAAACAATAAAGTTTATGAAATGTGTCATAACATTTTAAGTCAAGGTTAATACTAATTTTAATATATATCGTTTTTGAAAATAAAAGATACAAAAAACTTATGAAAATATGTTTTGATTAAATGTTTAAAAATAATTTTGAAAGCTGATTTACTTTTTAGCTACGAAATCAGTTTTATGAATAAATATGAAGCACATTTTCATTATTAAAAACATATAACTTATTTTGAACAATATTTGTGTTTTTTTTTATTATAATATGTTTTGATCTTTCTTTTTGTTGTTGAATAAGTTTCTATTCAATAATGATTGACGTTTTAAAAAAAATATTCCTAACAATATTATATAATAATTTTATTTTCTATATTATTGTCTTATATTTTTTCAATGAGAAATAATTAAAAAAGACAAAGATATAAAATTGAGACAGTTGTACCTCCTTAATTTCATGCCAATACTAAACTTAACAAGCAATATCACAAACTATTTGAAGATTTTCAGGATTGTGTTTTACATAACCTACCAATCAATATAAACATATTTCCAACTTGTTGGCTTATTTTTTAATTAATTATACACAATAAATAAATAAATAAAGACAAATTTTAGAGTACACAAAAAGCTAAAACTCTTGCCAATTTAATATTCTTGTTAAATATTTGACCAATAAAACCTTTTTTGTGTGTGTGTGTGTGTGTGTCGTTTAGCAATCTAATAATAAATCAACAATTTTTTTATTGCTTATAAAATTCTTTAAATTTATTTGAAAAAAAAAAAATCATGAAACAAATGATCATCTTACTCATCTTACCAACAAAAATGTAAAGTTAATATAATAATAGTTTGACTAGAAGTATTGGATAATATATTTTATTACATAATTTCCAATTAAATTAAAGTTGTTTAATAATCTTATTCTTGTGGGGCTCAAAGCCTTTGTTGGTCGGCAATATATTTATATTCTCACCTTCTCCTTGGAGTACAAGTAGTTGAATGTATGATGTGACGCATTCCTCCCAAAATGTCCTTCACATAGTTTTCTTTTTGGGGGATTGGGGTTGTTGGTCTTTAAGTCATTTTAATTTTAAGTGCCAGATTTGAGGTAAATATGCATTTTAATTTTAAAGAGCCAGATTTGAGATAAATATGAAGTCTTAGATCATGCTCGAATCTCGGCCACTCATAATCTAATTTGGTTCAATCAATCATCATCACCATTTGATTTACTAGATTGCATTTTATAAAACTCTTATTATCCTAATTTTCAGTAACTCGTCAAATACTGACTGGAAATTGAAGTACTTTTAGGTATTAACAGAATATAAATTTTGAGTGAAAATAATATTTTGAAACTTTTTAGTTAAAAGTATCATTAGGCAAACCTTAGGTGGGAAGAAGTCCTTTTCTCTATATGAAGAGATGGTTAGGACGGATCCACTTAGTGCGAGTGGGCAGGTACCCTATACGTGAATTTCAAAATGAGAAAGATGGTCCACAAGGGTAAGTTATACGGATCCTACTCTTTCATTCCTTTTTAGTCTTGCAATTTAATAATATAGATTATGATTGGCACATAGTAATGTCTAAGTAATCTTTGTCTACCCTAATTACTAATAATAGAACTTTAGCTTACAAAATATAATTAAACTACCAAACTTTGATCACACTATCAAACCTAATTAATTAATACCAAATTGCCCATGTGAATTATCTTTTTAAAAATATTTTCTCTCTTCAATTTCTCCTAGGGTCAAACCCATTTAAAAACTAATTCTATATTAATTTTAAATGTTAAAAAAAAATAATAGACAATCCATTAAACTAGTTTATTGCATAGAGCTTAATTAATTAATAACAATATCATTGTTATGAAGTATAGACCTCACTCAAATCTATGTAAATTTAATTAAAAATAAATAATAAATAAAACAAGATATGAATAATAATAGTACTCTTTATTATAAAACAAATGGTGTGGTCCCTTCTTTAGATCATGAAACCTTACTATATTAATCTCAAAAGATCAAATTTATTTATGTCAAATTAATATTAATTAATTATTTTAGTATTTTCATCTAATTGTTGTTATTGATCCAATACTGTCAAATTATTTTCATTTAAGATAAATAATAGAATTAGTAAATTATTCTTATCTTTTAAAATAAAAATAAAATAAATGTACGTAGTAAAGGCCCCCCATCAAAGACAATTACTAATAATAGAACTAAATTTATGGGATTTGTCTAAAAATTAGGTTAGTCAAATTATTATATTGTACAGTTCATACCAAATTATAACCAAAAAGGACATTTTCAGCTGAATTAAATTAATGAATTCTTTCTTTTTTTAAAAAGAAAAAAAGTGGCAATGTTAGGAAAGGGTTTGTTGAAAAAATAAATGCCACTTTCAAAACTCTTACAAATTATCCAAAACTAAATTACAGACTAAAGTACCCTATCAACACTTAGAGATATTATTTTCAAACACATTTGATAAGTTTATAGATAGAGATTTTGACAATGAGTTTTTCCCTTTTTTTTTTTTTTTTTTTTTTGTTTTAATTTCATGTTTATTCAATTCATTATTTAGTAATTTTACTAATTCAAGCATTATTGAAAATAAAATAAAAATCTAAAATCAAATGAGGCTATTTTATATTTAAACAAAAAAACCTATAATATATATATTTATTCTAGATGAGGATTTCTATAATTTTTTCTAAATTCAAACTTTTGTTACTTGACATTACTAAATATTAAAGAAATTTTTTTACAATTTTCGATAAAAAGATTTTCCGAATATTTATCTTTTCATTTTAGATGATACAAAAGCCATTTATTATATCATCTAACAAGTTTTATAATTTAAACAATTATTTATTGTCATAAATATTAGAAGATAAAATTCCAGATTGAATTATTATTGAGATAATGAAATTATCACTGAGAAAGAGTCTTTATAATATGCATGCAAAGTCGAAATAGAAGAAACAAACAAACAAATTTAATGAAAAAAGAAAAAACTTTGAACTCATGCATGGAATGAGAGAGTATGGCTAAATTTTTTCGAAAAAGGTTTGCAGTAATTGAGGCATGAAAAAGATCATCTATGCATTAACTTCGCATTTAATGTCTTCACCTGCATCTCTCCATTTTGAGATGCTCTTGTTTTATGCCTTCTTTATTGCCCCTCTTTCTTCCCTCTTCATTCCCTCCCTGCACCCCTGCAACCACCATTTTCAACCACCCTTCTTTCCCTTTTCACCTTCTCTTCTCTTCTTTTTGTTTGTTCATCTTCTTCACCTTCACCTTCACCTTCACTTTCTTTTTCTTTTTGGTTTTTGTTTCTGAGTTAACATGCATGCATGGGAAGAGGGATGAGTGAGGTTCAAGTTTAGTCTTAAGTTGAAGTGGAGTGTCAGCTTGGAGAAGAAGTCAATGAATGAAGTTCATGTTTCTTGATCCAATGTTGGAGAAAAAATAAACAAGAATGTGTTTTTAGACGAGTTTTTGAGAAAAATAGAAACTTTTGTTGGTTTTTTTTTTCTCTCTCTCTAAAAGTGTTGTTTTTATTAGACTCTGGTGACTTGAGCTTCTTTTCTGACTAAAGAAGAGGTTTTTTCGTCTGGGATTTTGGTAAGTTGCTGTGTCATTAGCTTCTGTTATGTGGTTTTTTTAATCACATGCTCTCTTCCATTGATGTTTATTAACATATAAGTTTCTGTATATAGTGTCTTCTCTCATTGTTCTCCTTTGAACTTTGAAGCTTGGGGTGCAAAATAAAAGAAAATGGAGTTTCATTCTAGTAGGTGGTTTCTCTGTAAACAAGTTTTTCTTCCGAATCTAAGCACTCAAAGACAGTAGATTTTGTTATCTGAATCCAAAACAAAGTTATGCAACTCTGGAGCTGTGTTTTCTTAATCTATTTACATTCTTGGAGGCCAATTATTTAAGTACTATAGAGTGTGGCGGGGGGATTCTTTCATATTTGAACAATTGAATTGGTTTGTGTGATGGAAATTTTAAGCTTTTTGGCAACAGATTTCCCCATCTGGGTATTCAAAAGCAGCACTTGGAGAGCTGGATTTCTTGTGCTTGTTTTGGTTTTATCAAATTTATTGTGCTTAGTTTGTGGTCTAGGCTCAATGTCTTCAATTGCCATTTCTTATGGTGAAAATGGTCCAGTTTTCTGTGGCTTGAAGGCAGATGGGTCTCATATTGTGACTTGTTATGGATCCAATTCTGCAATTATCTATGGCACTCCTTCTCATTTCCCATTTATAGGTCTAACTGCTGGTGATGGCTTTGTTTGTGGACTATTAATGGTTTCAAACCAGCCATATTGTTGGGGAAGTAGTGGCTATATCCAAATGGGAGTTCCTCAGCCTATAATCAAAGGAGCTGAATATGTAGAAATAAGTGCTGGTGATTACCATTTATGTGGTTTGAGAAAGCCCTTAACAGGAAAGTGGAGAAACCACTCATTTGTGGATTGTTGGGGCTACAACATGACTAAAAACTATGTGTTTGATGGGCAGATCCAATCAATTTCAGCTGGTTCAGAGTTCAATTGTGGCTTGTTTTCACAGAACAGGACTGTTTTCTGTTGGGGTGATGAGACTAGTAGCAGAGTGATTAGCCTAATTCCCAAAGAAATGAAGTTTCAAAAGATTGCAGCTGGTGGTTATCATGTTTGTGGGATTTTAGAAGGGGTGAATTCAAGAGCCTTTTGTTGGGGAAGAAGTTTAGACCTTGAAGAAGAAATCTCCGTGGCGTATTCAGGTCAGGGGAACGTTGACTTACCTCCAAGTGATCCAATGTTTTCCATTGTAGGAGGAAAGTTTCATGCTTGTGGAATTAAGCGCAATGATTATGGAATTATTTGTTGGGGGTTTATTATCAAACCAAGCACGCCGCCTCCAAGTGGTGTTAAGGTCTATGAGATTGCAGGTGGAAACTACTTCACTTGTGGAGTTCTTGAGGACAAGTCTTTGCTTCCAGTTTGTTGGGGAGTTGGATTTCCAGCCTCTCTCCCTTTAGCAGTCTCTCCTGGACTTTGCAAAACAACGCCTTGTGTGCCCGGTTCATATGAAGTTAGTAATGAACATGCACCTTGCAAGTCTCCCAATTCCCATGTTTGTTTGCCCTGCAGCAACAATTGCCCCGCTGAAATGTATCAGAAGGCTGAATGCACTTTGAAATTGGATAGAGTTTGCGAATACAATTGTTCGAGTTGTTCCTCAGCTGAATGCTTCTCAAATTGTTCTTCATTGCTCTACAATGGTGTTGTGGGGAAGAAGAATGAGCGGTTTTGGTCAATGCAATTGCCAGTCATTGTTGCAGAGGTCGTCTTTGCTGTGTTTCTAGTAACTGTTGTTTCTTTAACTGCTGTTTTATATGTTAGGTACAAGTTAAGGAACTGTAATTGCTCAGCAAAAGTGTCATCAAAGTCACGCAAAGTCAATGGTGTTAATGCTTCCTACCAGAAGGATAATAGCAAAATCCGACCTGACTTGGATGAGCTCAAGATAAGGAGGGCTCAGATGTTCAGTTATGAGGAACTTGAGAGAGCCACTGGAGGATTTAAGGAAGAATCTCAAGTGGGGAGGGGCAGTTTTTCTTGTGTTTATAAAGGGATACTCAAAGATGGGACAGTTGTCGCGGTTAAAAAGGCAATAATGTCTTCTGATAAACAAAAGAATTCAAAAGAATTCCACACAGAGTTAGATCTATTGTCGAGATTAAACCACGCTCATTTGCTCAATCTGCTAGGCTATTGTGAAGAGGGTGGTGAAAGGCTTTTGGTGTATGAGTTTATGGCACATGGCTCTTTGCACCAACATCTTCATGGGAAGAACAAGGCCTTAAAGGAGCAATTGGATTGGATTAGAAGGGTGACAATTGCAGTCCAAGCAGCACGAGGAATTGAATACTTGCACGGATATGCCTGCCCGCCTGTTATTCATCGCGACATCAAGTCATCGAACATCCTTATCGATGAAGAACACAATGCTCGAGTTGCTGATTTTGGTCTCTCTTTGTTGGGACCTGCAGATAGTAGTTCCCCTTTAGCTGAGCTTCCAGCTGGGACTCTTGGATATCTTGATCCTGAGTACTACAGGCTCCATTATCTTACAACCAAGTCTGATGTTTAAAGTTTTGGAGTGTTGCTTTTGGAGATCCTTAGCGGGCGAAAAGCTATCGATATGCAATATGATGAAGGCAATATAGTTGAATGGGCAGTTCCTTTGATCAAAACAGGAGATTTATCAGCAATTCTTGATCCTGTCTTGAAGCCTCCAACTGATCTTGATGCCTTGAAAAGGATTGCAAATGTGGCTTGCAAATGTGTGAGGATGANTATGTGTTTGATGGGCAGATCCAATCAATTTCAGCTGGTTCAGAGTTCAATTGTGGCTTGTTTTCACAGAACAGGACTGTTTTCTGTTGGGGTGATGAGACTAGTAGCAGAGTGATTAGCCTAATTCCCAAAGAAATGAAGTTTCAAAAGATTGCAGCTGGTGGTTATCATGTTTGTGGGATTTTAGAAGGGGTGAATTCAAGAGCCTTTTGTTGGGGAAGAAGTTTAGACCTTGAAGAAGAAATCTCCGTGGCGTATTCAGGTCAGGGGAACGTTGACTTACCTCCAAGTGATCCAATGTTTTCCATTGTAGGAGGAAAGTTTCATGCTTGTGGAATTAAGCGCAATGATTATGGAATTATTTGTTGGGGGTTTATTATCAAACCAAGCACGCCGCCTCCAAGTGGTGTTAAGGTCTATGAGATTGCAGGTGGAAACTACTTCACTTGTGGAGTTCTTGAGGACAAGTCTTTGCTTCCAGTTTGTTGGGGAGTTGGATTTCCAGCCTCTCTCCCTTTAGCAGTCTCTCCTGGACTTTGCAAAACAACGCCTTGTGTGCCCGGTTCATATGAAGTTAGTAATGAACATGCACCTTGCAAGTCTCCCAATTCCCATGTTTGTTTGCCCTGCAGCGACAATTGCCCTGCTGAAATGTATCAGAAGGCTGAATGCACTTTGAAATCGGATAGAGTTTGCGAATACAATTGTTCGAGTTGTTCCTCAGCTGAATGCTTCTCAAATTGTTCTTCATTGCTCTACAATGGTGTTGTGGGGAAGAAGAATGAGCGGTTTTGGTCAATGCAATTGCCAGTCATTGTTGCAGAGGTCGTCTTTGCTGTGTTTCTAGTAACTGTTGTTTCTTTAACTGCTGTTTTATATGTTAGGTACAAGTTAAGGAACTGTAATTGCTCAGCAAAAGTGTCATCAAAGTCACGCAAAGTCAATGGTGTTAATGCTTCCTACCAGAAGGATAATAGCAAAATCCGACCTGACTTGGATGAGCTCAAGATAAGGAGGGCTCAGATGTTCAGTTATGAGGAACTTGAGAGAGCCACTGGAGGATTTAAGGAAGAATCTCAAGTGGGGAGGGGCAGTTTTTCTTGTGTTTATAAAGGGATACTCAAAGATGGGACAGTTGTCGCGGTTAAAAAGGCAATAATGTCTTCTGATAAACAAAAGAATTCAAAAGAATTCCACACAGAGTTAGATCTATTGTCGAGATTAAACCACGCTCATTTGCTCAATCTGCTAGGCTATTGTGAAGAGGGTGGTGAAAGGCTTTTGGTGTATGAGTTCATGGCACATGGCTCTTTGCACCAACATCTTCATGGGAAGAACAAGGCCTTAAAGGAGCAATTGGATTGGATTAGAAGGGTGACAATTGCAGTCCAAGCAGCACGAGGAATTGAATACTTGCACGGATATGCCTGCCCGCCTGTTATTCATCGTGACATCAAGTCATCAAACATCCTTATTGATGAAGAACACAATGCTCGAGTTGCTGATTTTGGTCTCTCTTTGTTGGGACCTGCAGATAGTAGTTCCCCTTTAGCTGAGCTTCCAGCTGGGACTCTTGGATATCTTGATCCTGAGTACTACAGGCTCCATTATCTTACTACCAAGTCTGATGTTTACAGTTTTGGAGTGTTGCTTTTGGAGATCCTTAGCGGGCGAAAAGCTATCGATATGCAATATGATGAAGGCAATATAGTTGAATGGGCAGTTCCTTTGATCAAAACCGGAGATTTATCAGCAATTCTTGATCCTGTCTTGAAGCCTCCAACTGATCTTGATGCCTTGAAAAGGATTGCAAATGTGGCTTGCAAATGTGTGAGGATGAGAGGGAAGGAGAGGCCATCAATGGATAAGGTAACGACAGCCCTGGAACGTGCGCTCGCCCAACTGATGGGTAGCCCCTGCATTGAGCAACCAATTTTGCCAACTGAGGTGATTTTGGGGAGTAATAGATTGCACAAAAAATCATCTCAGAGGTCTTCGAATCAATCAGCCTCCGAAACTGATGCAGCCGAAGCTGAAGATCAAAGATACGAGTTTAGAGCTCCTTCATGGATAACCTTTCCAAGTGTTACATCTTCCCAGAGGCGAAAGTCATCGGTTTCAGAAGCAGATGTGGATGGGAAGAACTTGGAAGCAAGAAATATGGGCAACATGGGAAGTGTTGGAGATGGGTTGAGGAGTTTGGAGGAAGAGATTGGACCTGCTTCTCCTCAAGAGAACTTATTCTTGCAGCACAATTTCTAAAGAACTTAATTGATTTCTTGATTCATGGTGGTGGCGGCTTTGCTTCAGTTTCTGGTGGTTGATTTGGTTGGAATGTGATAAGAGAAAAAGAGTGAAAGGATGTAATTTTATGGATAACCAGTGCTACAATTGCTATTACTTCAAAGTCTTCAATACTAGCACATCTTTTTTATGTGTTAGAGCTATTCACTGCAATATCGATTTGGTAATATAATCGGACTAGAATTAACCAATAGATTGAAGTTATATGTATTTGTTTTGAAGATACCTTCAATCCGATAATATTACCAGATTGATATTATAGTATATAACCCTAGAAGCCAAGTTCCTGATATTGAATTTATTCTGCAATTGCTATATGATTAATGCAAAGAATGAAAAAAGGATTCAACTGCCAGATGAGAGTTTCACAAAGAAACAAATAAAGCAAAAATAGTTTTTTGTTTCTTTATTATGTCACAATGAATCCAACTTACAACAGTAAAAATTTATCACAAAATGCTAGAGAAACCATTCATTTACACAATTTGAAAACCCAAAACCCCAAAAGATTACAGTGCCTCCAATTCACTCATTATGGTAATTCTCTATAGACATTTACAAAATTTACAATATGTACCAGATCAGTTGATAAAAAACACCAATAACTGTAGCTGCAAAATTTTTAGGATGGAGATCTCCTTCTAAAAAATGAAATAAGCGATACTTTTGATTTCTGTGAGCCAGAGGGGCGGCATATTAACAGATTATGTGAAGCAAAACTCTGTAATCCTAGTAAAAGCAACTTCATTCTTTCTTAAGTATAGCACGGGAATGAACTGAAACTTCAATAAAAAGGGGTCTAATTCCAAAGTGAGGGATCTCTAAATTGAGTCACGATTGCCCCCGATAGAAACTTGACAACTTCTTCCCTCTTAACCACCTTCTCCTTCTTAACTTCAAGATGACGAACCTGGAAATGAATTTCAGTTACATCTAAATATGATCAGAATGGTAGATATCTTATAGATATATGTCGTCAAGGTTGATAATCAAGTAAGGGGAAACATGGGGTACAGAATTGCAAATCAAGCCATGTTAATCCGGCAAACCACTTTCTTGACTGTAGTGTTGGAGAATTGTCTTAGCTATAATATGGTACTCATAAATTTACGATGACATCTTTTCCATGGAACTACCAGGAAACTTAAGAGAATACAACATTAATAAAATTAAGAAATGGGCTCTTAGTTCAGCAATACCTTAACAAAATCTGTCTGAGATACACCTGTGTCTGTTATGATGACAAGACATTTTATATCATGCTCACTTGCATATTCATACTGCTCTGTAAGACTTGGATCTGGTACAGGGACAAACTGAGCCTGATGGAGATAATTCATCAGTAAGCAACAGGCAATTTAGGCACTTCCAAGTGACATAAATATTGCAGCTTACATTATCAGATAACTCAATTACCAACCTTGATATTCTCCTCCCATAGTTCAGCAACTAGTTCCATGCGCTCAACCAATAAACCACCTCCGCCTCTTGAACAAACAAGAAAACTGGTGCTGGTTTCAAATCTGTAACAGAAGACAGAAAGAGGATATCCAAGGCCTTAAATAACAAACTCAAACTCTAAATGGGAGGTGGAAGTAAAAAGGGATGGGAAGTCCAAGCAAACTGCACCTGAAAGGCTTAAAATCAACTTGAGAAAGCTGAATTATTGTCTCCAGTGCAACGCTGGTGCCAACAGCACCTGGAGGATTTGTTCTCTGTGCAAAATAATACATTAGCAGTGAATTAAAGGACAAAGTTGATACACTTTCCTGGATAAGAATATAAATATCAGCTTGGTCCGGTGACTTATAATTTATTTTCATTCAAGTCTGGAACTGAAAGCATGTTCTACCTTCACTAATAAAGTTGATCCACATTGGTAAGAAAATAGTCATTAGAAGAATAAGTGGCTTTATGGAAAAAATTTGATCAAATCTGTCCTCTCAAGATATACAAACAATTCATTTTAGACCTCACTAGGAGACTGCTGAATAACCACTTCACGACTTACACTTAGCGTTCAGTTTTTACCTTTCCTTGTACCAATCAGCAACAATGTCCAACGTACTTTAATTTGCCCTAATATATTACAATTTACAGTGCACTGAGCACATCAAATGTTCAAAGGCATTTCCTTAGTGCATTGGCATTCTTGTTGTGCACAGACTGCTTATACATTTATTATTATTTGTCTAAATAAATGAAAAGTAGGCAAAAGAACTCACATGTGCATAACCTATATATTCACGATCCCACATCTGATGAAGCAAATAGTCATAGCGGCCACCAACGGCAAGCAATGTACCTTCAACAAGTGATCCATGATTGTTGTCCTTCATCAGGAAAACCTGGGCAGAGAAAAGGTGCCACTGGGTTATAGAAATATATCAGCAGTATGGAATTCTTTTCTATCAATGCTTATTAGATAGGTCTACCAATCTGATTTAAGCACAAATCAGATCACTAAGAAAAACATAACAGAAACAAACATATTGCTGCCCTAATCAATCTATAACATGTCGATTAAAACAAATATTCCATGATATGAAAGCATATCAGACAATGCACAAATTCATATTCGTATGATGACTAAGAACGTATTACTGAAATTACTCAGCAACCCACTTTTACTATGAAAAGGAAATGACTAGACATGAATACCAATTTTGATCTCTGTGATTGACCTATTCAAAAGAAACTTCTTATTAAGCCAAATAGAATATTCAAAAATAAGTAACAGTTTCCAGTTTCACCATGGTTTACAAAAAGTAGACTGTCTATGAGATAATCAGAATTTATGTAGGTGTTAAGATACAATATTAATCACTTGTTTAATGTTTTTACCAAACAATTTTTGTAAGCAAATTATGAAATAAATTATTATTCCACAATCTACAACAATATAAACGAGTCCTACGCAAAATGCCAAGCAGCCCCAAGGCAGCAGCCTTATCCCAGCAATTCAGCATTCTCCAATTTTTCCCCTTTGTTTTTCTGCAGAATATATGCATTCCAGTAAAACCATAATAGTGTCTATTCACTGTCACCTGAGCTTGTGGAGTGGGAAAAAGAACAAAGCGAAAACAAGAGAACTTGCACACATGTTAAGGAGAAGATGGACCTCAACAACATAAAAATTTATGAAGGATTGTAGATGCAAGATCAAAAAAGACATTTTGCAATTTCGTTTTATGATGCAATGGTTTATTATTTTAGGAATTTATATCAAGAATTAAGAACGAATCATTACTAATTTTATCAGGTTATTGACAGTAACTTATTTTACCTGAAAGAACAAATCTCTATGATAATTCTCGGTGGGTGGCATTAGAGCATCTATATAAGCATGCTTTTCAATTCTCCACACTCTCAAGTAGCTAAAGAGGTCAGACAGCTCATCAAGCGCCTTGCGCGTAGGTTTATCTGCAGTGATATCAAAATGAATGGTATGTACAAATTTCCTCAAATAATTTGAGTAACAGAAGGACTACCAGCTGGTAAAGCACCCCTCAATCGAGGAAGAGCCTGATCTGCAGCTCCACAGAACCGTAGAGCAACAGTCTGCAACCTATTTACAACAGCTTCTGCTAAATTAAGTTCCTGAAATGAGTAAAATTTAGGAGAGATTAATTACATTTGAATTAAAATATATTAAAAACAAATGAATCTCATTCCATCTCCTTCAAAATTGAATAAAAAATCTAAATTGTGCTAGTTAATTAACCATACATGAATGCACTGACAATGAAACAAAATTTGAGTCCATTAAGAGCATAATTCATTTGCGCATATTAACGTAACTACAGGAATATGGTATCAGATGCTCATGCTGACCAAATTTTACCTCGAACTCTGGTTAGATGCTCATTTAAAAATTAAATAAAATAGATGTTCAAGTTTTCCCTCAAGTGTCATTCAAGGCATAGACAAACAATAACTTTTATAATGCTGCAGATATTGCCAAGTTTATTCAGCTCTACAAAAATTACATGGAACCAGGAAAATCAGCTGTAATGAAAGTAGTGTTAAACTAACAAACTCAAATAAATAATAGCAGTTTATCACTTGCTCCTAAAATAATTTATCAAGGTTTCAAAAGGATTTCTCAAGGCTTGTAAAAGTATGAGTAATCTGCATCATTTAATAGTAAAAGCTTTTACAAGTTTTATGCTCACCTACTTGGATCTATTAGATGAATCGGTTTTTTCCAGTTATATCTATTTGGATTCAAAATTTAGTACTTCACTTATCCCTTTCATGTCTTAGTACTATATGATTTAGCATCACCTAAGAACTACAACTGGGTCCTCCGGTGTTAGTATATTAATGAGAAATGTTACAGTATACTAAATGCAAAAGATTACACTCTTCCTCGAACCTGCAAAAGCTGGCGTCTAATTACTTTCCACTTTAACTTCCGATCAGATGATTGGGGACTCACGGAAACCATCAAGGAAAGCAGCTTCATTTGGAAACAAAGAAGAATCGGTCAGCACATACTTAACATACTCAATGACGCAATTCTTATATGTACATTAACATATATACCTCAGCTACTTTCTGTCTATGCTCAGCCTTGATTCCAGCCCACGACCAAATTGCATCCAGTAGGTCACCGTGATTGAGATGAATATCACATGACTCTGAATGAAAGAACCGAGTTACAATGTCCATTGTCACCTGCAAAATAAGTCCAAAATTAAAAAGAAAATGATGAACTTTGTTTAAGACCTTCTGACAGATATGAAACTGAAAGTTAATCATTGAAAGGTTATAGACAAACTACATCACTGCTAGCTGGTTACTTATCAATGTTTAGACAGTGTAATATCTCACTCATCAATGGAAACCACTGATGCTGGTGTGGATGGAGTATGAAAAGAATTAATTGACTATAGGTTGTTTTCTATTATTAATACAAATAAGCAATTTACATAGAGTTGCGAACAGAACTTGTACAAATCCACGGAAGAGTTGTGTCAAATCAGTCATAGAGAGAGAAATACATAATCAATCAAATATAAAAGGTTCTTGGAAACTCCTGATGCTTATTTTGAGAGTTAAAGTAAATATTAGAAAGTGAATGCAATTGACACATAAAGAACAGTATAAATGAGACAAAGAGGGCAGCACCTTGAGAATCTCTGCCTCTGTCAAAGCTGCTGCACCTCCAATAATGTCAAAATCACCCTATGGACAATTAATAATGTTATAAAGAGGGATTCAGAAAACATCAATTTTGACAAGCAAATAAACCCAAAGGCATGAAATCAATTTTAACAATTATACTCCATTTGACCCAGACAAAATTGAAGAAGAATGCCTGAAATGGAATGATCAAAGTTATACCTGAAGATAGCGATTTGGTGGTGAATGACCAATTGCTCTCCTATAAACAGATGATATTTCATACCTTTTAAATGAAGACTTCTGCAACAAGAAATTTGAAGAAAATGACATAGTTATTGATGTAGGAGAAATAGGATGGATTTTAAGATCGGTATTTTCAGAGTTTTATTACATTCATGAGTTGCTTTAGTATTTTATTTCATTGTTTCTTCATTCTCCCTAGGTTTATCTCTCAATTTTCTGTAGCTTATCTTTGTTCATCTTCTAGTTCTCTATTTTCTATCTATTATCTATCTTATTTCTTCTCCTCCTCTATCAGTTATTCATGATAAAACTTTTAATGGGTGCCTGGTCTGCAATTAACAAAAAAATGAATGTGAATGGAACACAGTAAAGTCTTTTTTAATAGAAACAGAGAATTTCATTAACAAAAGAGATCAAAAGATATACATATAGGTGAACTAGCTGTGCAGATGAGGATCCAAAGAGAAAACCAGTAACTTAATGAGTATCCAGGTGCAAAATGTGCCATTAATATAAGTGAAGTTAGATATAAAATACCTGGTTTGCAATAGCCCAACAAACGAAAGGTAGACGTAGCTCATGACAAAGTTCAAGCATATCTCCTCCATGGGTCAAAAGTTTGACAGTGTTCCTTCTCATAAAATAAATAAATAGATAAATAAAAGTAATTAGCTAGCTCTACTACTCAAGAAAACTAGTTTCACTAAGAGGGAAACCTTTTATACTGTGGACTCTCATCCAACAAATACATAGGCATTATCTCCAAACGCTTTGCACAATATTGTCTGAACACTTCCCTAGTGACCTCAACAACATAATCACGAAGTTCAGTGTCTACATCTGTGTACTGGATAGAGGAAGCATTATCTCTTGTGATCTTTAAGGTATCAGCATGTTGATGATGGTTTTTAGTGCCCAGTGTCTCTTCATCGAATATTGAACTCACAACTTTGTCATATATACTTCTGTCCTCAGAAGATTGCATCATCCGCAGAATATCTGAAGATACAAGGAAAGAATCAAGGAGGATACAAGTATATATATACTTTAAACATCCATACATTATCCATTGCAGCTAAAAATATCGGAAATCAGTTTGTTCACATAAAATGAAAGTTGATCAATGACTCAAAACTCCTTTCTCACCTTTTCTTTTAATCATTAAATTTAATAAGCCACTATAACACCTTTTTTTTTTCCCAGTTAAATTCATCGCACAGAAAATTTCAAAAACGGAAAAGTACAAGCGTGAATATTTTTGTACTATATGAGGGTCCAATAACTTACTATCTAACAACTCATATTCCATGCGTGGAGGAAATGCATTTTGTAAGAGTTCTGTGGCAGATGGACGATCAGATGGACTTGGAGACATTAAGCGCCGCAACAAGGATGCCTGTTCTGGAAATTCAGCAATCCATGCAGGAGGAAGGTCTCCTTTTAGTTTCAAATCAGATAAAACAATGTGTCTCTCCATTGCTGTTACAAAAGGATGCCAAAGCTCAAAGAACACAACTCCTAAGCTGTACATGTCAGCCTGAGACAAAGGAAGACTCCACAACAGTTATCTTATGTAGTAATCTTTTGCAAAATGAATAATATGACTAAATTGCTAGAGCACAAAAATTAAAAGGTATACCAGCTGGAAATTAGCAGAAGCAAAAGAGATCTAAACAACATTTACCTTCTCGTCAATCTTTGGCCATCCTTGCTCAATTTCAGGAGCAGTGTAAAAGTAAGTACCAACTTGGCCAGTGCCATCCATTGAAACTCCGGTAGCATCTGTTGGAAAAAACGCATCCTGATCCACCTGCTCCAGCTTCAAGAATTTGGCTGAAACATGAAAAACAAACATGAATTTACTATCCCATAGATTTATGTAAAGTATTGATGTTTCCAGTTGCTTCATTTAATATTTCAACAATGAATATAAATTGTTAAACTAGTGCATGCTGCTTTTCTTATTTTTGGCAGTCTGACTTACTTACCAGACCATTTTAATGCATTTAAAAAGCAGGTACTCATAGATATTTATAATAGTGTCATTTAGAAGCATTACTTCCATGCATAACAACACAAACAGCATTATTAGTCCACCAAATGTGAATTATTATTTCCGTTATTGATATTTTTTGGGAACCTAACGTGTATCAGTGTGGATATTGAAGGTTATCAGTAGAAAGATCAGCACTTTGAAACTTAAAAAGCTAAAAGGAAACAGAAGAATGTCATTATCTTACCGAGACCAAAATCCCCAATTTTAATATCATTCCGAGCATCAAAAAAGATATTATTGGGAGTTAGATCTCTATGAATGATTCCTTGTCCATGTATGTGCGCCAAGCCTTCTACAATTTGGCGAAACAAATGCCATGCTAATTCTTTGTCAAGATGATTATATGATTCAAACACCTGGCGAAGAGTCCTTCAAACCAATAGGAAGGACACACAGAGAGAGCACAACATGATCAACAAAACATATTGCACGAAAAAAGAAAAAAGAACAACCTATAAACTCCCTATAGCTTCATGGAGTTAAGGTGAATGGCAATGGAATAAGTATATTTACTCACAATTTCAAAGTTAAAAAGAAAAAAGCATGTGCATTTGCATGTGTTTGCATTCAAGAACTTAAAAGGTTTACGTATACTATGAAGCAAAAGATATCTTCTATAGGGAAAAAGGAAATGGAAGATATGGACAAAAGATCATATTGCATGATATATGCCCTTCACTTTGCAATGCATTAAAGGCAATTCTATTATAAAAGATACTTCTACTAGGTTCTTGATAATCATCTTTTTCATGACAAAACAATTTTCAAGTATCAAGTATTATTTAATATGAATAAAGATTCCATGCATGAAGTTTTCCAATAATCATGGCTAACGATGTGCAGCATAGTAGCATCATCAGGTAGGAAAGACTGATACCAAATACTATCAAATGCAGAGACAAGAATTTCTTAACTACACTAATATTTAGCCCAAATAAACCTAAAAACTTAATCTTATAGGATAGAATCCAACAATGTAACTTAAACTCTAACAACTCCATTCCTGTGAGAAGTTGAATTTTAATAAAATAGATGTCACATGCATTCGAGCACTAACAAAAAAAACACATGGAACCAAACACACACAAAAAAGTAACTGGATCAAAACAGGGGCCTATTTAATATGCCTCACAATTTAATTAATACAAGGGGGAGGGAGAGCATAAATTTTTTTGTTCAATTTATCGATCTATACCTTGTTAAGAACATTAATCCTAAAGCTTAAACTAATAGGAAAGAGCCCAACATCGGTAGGGTTACTTTAGATTGGCCTACTTTCATTATAGAAAATCTTTGGTTGTCTTGTTTAATTTTCTTCTGTATTGCTTAACGACACCTTCTTGTAAATTTTAAATTTTCCATTTCCTTAAAAAAAAAAAAAAAAAAAAAAAAAAAAAAAAAAAAAAAATGTGAAAGGAGAGAGTCCAACGATACATTTAAACTTCAATAAACTTACATAGATTCATTCATATTTAATTCAAACCAAGGGGAAAAATAACTTACAACAAAGTTGAGAAAGAAGAATATATAGCTCAAGCCTGGAGAAAATCAAGGGGAGTTAATGTTTTACCTGGGGCAATACTCCATTTGAATATATAAATATGTTGATTCAAGTTTATTCTCTAAGCCAGGGACATCAGCAGAGCTTCCTGCTCTGTGGCTGAATGTAGAGCTCGCTGCAGTCCCTGAACCCCAATTGCTGTCCACATCAGAACCAGCAACTCCTGTTTCATACCATGCCTGGGAGTTTTTACAAACATTACAACCATGAAAGAGGTACAAATATTAATCAACCTATCTTATCGGTAGCGATAACTATACAGTTAGGATCAATGCCACTCTCCCCTATTCTCTACACAAATTATGACATAAGTCACACAACTAGTGAACGATTCAATTTTGACCTCAAATGTTTAAAGATTACATTTCATGTGTGTCATTCTCAGGTTATCATGCATGTTACACGTAATTTCAACCATTGAAGTTGCATCAATCTAATAATTCAAAAATTGTACCACAATCAGTGCTGAAAATGAGATGTCATAATGCATACACACAGACAAGCATTATGCAAGCAAACTAGAATATAGCCACTAAAAGACAAAGCATGCACACAGACAAGCATTATGCAAGCAAACTAGAATATAGCCACTAAAAGACAAAGCATGCACACAGACAAGCATTATGCAAGCAAAGTAGAATATAGCCACTAAAAGACAGAGACATGGTAATCAAAAACATGCAGATAGTGACAAAGAAAAGGTCTCACCTGATAGTAACGGACAACATGTTGATGCTGCAAACGGGAAAGTGTGGCCACTTCCCTAAGTACCTCGCCAAGTTGACACAAACAGATTTTAAAATGATGTCCAAGAAGAAAGAGTTGCAAATCAACAAAAGGAGGGGGGGAAGAAGTAAGAGTAATTCCCCTATATAACCATCTCACTAATTTTAATTCCCAAAATGTCAAGGTTTTGTTTAAAAGATAGAAGTAGCCATAAAATCATGTGGGTTAACCTAATTGCCCTCAATGAAATATAACGAGGACAAAAATAACCAAAATGCATTAGACTACTAAGTCTAGCATAGTTTAGCATTCTTTAATCAGATTGTTAAGGTTAAAGAACAAAGTCTTTGTTGTTTCATTAAGGGTATAAATGATAAGGGACATGGTTTTATGGTTATATATGCCCTTTAAATAAAAGCTTGACATTTTGGGAATTAGAATTAGTGAGATGATACTTGTCCAAACCCCAAGAAAGAAAGGAAAAGCCAAAATATTAAGCACCAATTAGGTATAACTTATCCACGGATTTTTTTTTTGTTAATGTTAGGAGCTCCATTGAATTTTTTTGTCATTCAATTGAAATTTAACGAGCTCAAAGACATGAAAAAAGTTGTCTGATGCCCATCAAAAGAAGCTCAAATTTTGGACTTTTCAAATTACCTCTCTCTTAAATTTCCCATGACACTTAGTCAGGTGGACCATGGGTTGAGCTTTCTGTCTACTACTTTCTTTGTCTTAGCAATAAATTTATACAATCTCTCCACAGAAGAGAAGAAAAAGATAAATATATATTAAACCCCAATGACTTTCCATTAGGTAAATATCATGGAAACAGGCTTAATCTATGTTACACCAAATATTGAACATGTTGCGATCCCTCAACCATCTTCAAGTAAAAATGCTAGGATTGGAGAAATCAGATCTAGACATGTAACAGCTCCAACATTCTATCTTGGAACAATCTTACATAAATCATAATGAGCTTACTCAGCACCAAAGCATGTATGAGGTAACAGTGAATATCATTAACCCATAAAATACTATGAATATCCCAAACCAAAATATTGAAGAAATGATTAGAAATCAGATAACAAATAATTATACGACCTCCTACAATGTAATAATGAGTAACAAATAAATAGAATTACCATTAAAACACTATGTCGTATGTAAATCAAGTTATGTTACAATTACTGAAACATAGTATTAGAGTTTCAGGTGAATGAAATCCAGATTTCTTTCTAAAAGAAAGTAAATTTACCTCAATATCCGGTCATTAACTTGCAAACTTTTATCCTTGAGGCGAATTTTTTTCACAGCATACTGCCTTCCATCTAGTTTATTTTTGCATAATACAACATGGCCAAAACCACCATGACCTGTTACCATTATAAAGGAAAACTCTTAAGAAGGCATAAACACAAGAAAACATCTAGCTTTCCCCCAAAAAGGTTCTAGGCTTAAGCAAGCTGGAAAAAATAAAATATATCCTCCAATCCAGGCAATGAATTTTATATAAACCCATTTAGACTCCATAACATGATTGAGAGAGAGAAGTAGTATTCAACACTTTAACGATTAAATTTATACATGAAACAGCCTTTAATTCAGAAAACTTGTTTAACTAAAAATTTCCATAAAATGTAATAGTACTATACTGCCATCTTTACTTGCAGTTTTACATCTGAACTTTTGAGAAATTTTATTATTCAAGAGAAAATACAAGTGCCAGCAGTCAGTTTATCAATAACTTCATCATCCCGGATAGTGAAATTGGATGAATTTAATCATATTAATCTATCTAATTCTTACTATTCAAAATAAATCAAAATTTGAGATGAGGCAGTACCAAGAGGTTCTAACTCCTCAAAGTCACTGAGATAGCGAGAGCTTGGGAGAGAAGTACTTTGTCCTCCAAAATCCAAAGTAGGTTTCCAAAATTGAGATACTCTGGACGAAACCTAGAAAATATTAATAAAATAAACAAAGTGAAACAATTTTTTAAATCAGTCAAGTGGCAAGAAAGAGGGTAAAAGTAAAGAAAATGAGTGACAAACCATTTGTTGATGGAAAACATGATCAAACGTTTTTTTAAAGAGTGAAGATGGTTTAGAAGCTAAATCCCGCACCCATTCTGAAAAGATCTGAACCAAACCATCAGAGAGCATAGCAGTTTAATAAAAACAAGAACAAGAATTTTTCAAATTAAACAAAAGGACCTTTATTCCCTAGAAAAGAATAGGTTAAAATACATACACCTAGATTGCACAGCTCAGTGGCTATTTGTGGCAATGCATCAGTCAATGGTCCTTTAGAAGCACAAGCAAGACGAAGAAGATGAACCTGATGAAAAATAAACCTGATAATCAGCCTATACTTTGGACTTTCTGCATGTAATAAGACAGTAACAGATCATACGAAAATTACCATTAATAGTTCTTTTTCAAGATTTTGAGACGGTTGATCTTGACCTAAGGATGCAGAAGAGAATGAGTCTGAAGTCTCACTTTCAAAACCACCACCAACTTCATCAGTTCTATTCTCCTGAATAAAAACATGCAATATTTATACAGTAGGTCAAATATTATCAACACATAAGCACTTCCAAGACATATCCATAAAACTTTGATCTATTCTCTTGGCCGGTTTACCTATTAAATTTTGTTTTTGCTAGGTTTTATGATGTACTAATCATTAAATGACAATACAGATTATTCTCTATTCACCTAATTCTTTCTCTTAACAAATTTCCTTCTCATCCAATAAAAAGATGGAGCTAATGAAACAAATCACGATCTAAAATCGGAAAATTCAAGAGTACTTAAATGGGGAAAGGATAAGTTCAAAATGCATGAGTTTATCCAAAATACGTAAAAGATATTAACTTCTTTGACAATTTTTCAAGTCTTCAGTGAATTTTGAACCTGTATGTGCCCTATACTTTTTTTCTATAGGAAACGTAGAAATGTATATTATGAAAAAACTTAGAAAGTGGATCAGAAATCCACTCCTTCAAAAGTAGCCCATCAAAAAAGGGGCTAAAGCTTTAGCTTTACAAGTAGTATCATGAGCCTTTGTGCAAAAAGAAATCCCCCACAAAAAAAAGAGACAGTATGGCATGGACAAGTCCTATAAACCAGAATTATCTTACTACACCCAAACAATTAAGATGGATAAAGAAAAAAGTGGTGTCGTCAAAGTCTTTTAATACAGAGGCCCAAAGAGATGCCAACACTTTTTTTTCCTTTTTCCCTATCTTTTTAGCAACAAAAAAGGGTATGACCTAAGACTATATATGCATTATTTATTTAAAGTGAAAAATATTGACCAAAGTGTCCTTTATAAGTGTATAAAAACAATGTATATAATTAAAATAGATCAACAATGATGCCTGCAAAATCAAACATATCCATCACAGCAATGGCAGCTAGAGCAACTATTGATTAACGAGAGAAGTTACAAAAACATGGAATATAACAATATTAAGAGTAATGCAGCAACACTTTCTTCTTCACTTTCTTTCTGGCTCTCAGTCTTCTCTTGACACATGACTAGAGACAAAGACAGTGGTCAGTTGGTAATATAATTAAAAAAGAAGTTGGGTAAGAAAATAGCATGAAACAATAGTTAAATCAGTTGTACACATGTTAGGAGCAGAGTCAGAGAATGAGAAAGTGGTTGTTCCTGGCATTTCCCTACTTATAAGTACATGTGCTCGAAGACATCCAAACATAGCTCACCTCACTCTCGCTTTCTTTATCATTGTCTATCAATTCCTCAATTCCTGATCCAGATGAATCAGTAGATGATCTGCTCTTATTGAATTCTTCATGCTCTTCTTTAACAGATTCTAGTTTGGGAGCTGGCAAAGGTAATGGACCTTGCTTTGTATCTTGCACTGTCAATGGCTTAACATTCTTATCAACTTTTTTCCCTGAAACCTCATGTCCAAGTTTCAAACCATCAGACATGTGGGCGTTTACAGAAGAAACTATCCCCTTGTTGTCATCCATTCCAAGACCCCAATGCCATGACTCTCCAGAGCCACTGAAGAGATCTATGAAGCCATAAACAAAAGGTCCCCTCATAGAGCAACTCTTGGTAGCTGAGACTACAATATCCTTAAACAACTGACCGCTGCTATCTGTTGTTGAGCTTAAGACCTGCCAAAAGAGAAGTGTAAATAAAAAACATGCAGCAGAAAGATAAAAAATGTAGTTAAAAAAGGAAAAAGACACTGACAAGCAAAAAGAACCCACAAGTAAAATTCTGAATGCTATGCCTATAATCCAATTTTAGAATAAGTACCAAGTTACATGTTTAATGCATCAACAAATTTACCAGAGTGGTATGTGGTATCATGATAGTACAGTTGTCAAGTTAGCTATAAGAATATTTGAAATTACTCATACAGGCAAATTTTCCAACTATTCTTATACTATAAGTACCCCACAACTGGGAAGTATAGAGCATACCAAGCATCCTTTTTCAAAAATTACTTCCATCTTCAGATCTCTGCAGAATCAAGGAAATCATTTGTAGAATCTCGATTCTAAGCTTAGGTCAAGAGTGAATGTATCATAGAAAATTTTCAAAGTTGGTTTCAGTGTGTTGACCACATGAAGCAGCGGTAGGACAGCGATTGAGTGGCTTAAGATTCTGGCCTATCACATGAAAATATCACATTCTTAATGCTAATTTTTTTCACCTCCCTTAGTAAGGACAAACCCTTTGATTTTAAAGATAGGCAGGGACTTCCCTATAAATTAGGAATTTTAGCAGAGGTTTATGACAATTTCTAAACCTCTGGAAAGATTTCTGTCTATTTCTCAAACCAAAAAAAATGCAGTTTCATTTCGATGAAATCTTAAGGGAAATCAATGAAATTTCCCCTATCCTTTACTATCAAATGTAAGACAACATATAACGAAGACCTTAGCAGAAAAAAGAACAGTATTCTAATTCCTATTTATGGAACAGATGAGTGGGTAAATTCTTAGGGCCAAACATCAGCTTCTGCATGAGATTTTCAGTGGACAAAGACAAGGGACAAGGGACCAATATCACCTAAGTACAAATTGTTTAATACCAGTTCATTTCCTTTTTAAACCCTGCAATCCATCCATATCTTTGTGCTCCCAAATTGTTTAAAAATTTGTTTTTCCTCATTTCAAGTATCTCCAATATCATTATTCACATACCAAGATTAATCTACTCAAAGAAACACCCCTTTCTCTCTTTGGTTCTAAAAAAAAAAAAGATTACATATAAAAAAATAAAGTAAAAGTTAAACAAAGTTATTCCATGATGAATTAAATGGAAATATGAATAAATGGCAAAGCTTACAGATTCATTAGACTGGCCAACTGGAACTATTTCAGACAGGAATTCTTGAGCAGCCTCCACCAGATTGAAAATCATAACCCGTCCTTCTCGCGCATTAGAATTTGCCTATAACAAAAGAGCAATTACAAAATAGGAAAGCTGTGTTAGCGTAAATATATTAGGTAAACTCAAGTACAAGTAAGTAAAAAAAGTCAAAATAAGAGAAATTCACGCTATTCAACAACAAAGTTTATGAAAAATAATTAAAAACCAAATCATAAAACACCTGATCATGAAGGAGACAAAGAAGATTATCAGCATCCTTTTCTGTCAAACCTTTCTCAGGAGTAATGTGCAACTTTGGACACTTGTAAGGATACCCTGGTAAGCACCTGAAAAAAATATAAACAGAAAAGAAGTAGAACAAAGTTATGCCTTGACATTAAAACAAAAAAACATTGAATGCCACCTCAGCTACCTTACTGCAAGAGAGGCAGAAACATCTAGATCTTCATAACCCATATCATTTGAGTAGGGCCTGCTCAAATTTGAAATAAAACAAAACTTAGTCAAGGAGAAATTCATAATTCATGAACTTGTTTGAGCTTACATGAAAACAAAATAACCTGAGTTTAATAATGATTTGAGGAGGCGATCCTGAAATGACACAATCTTCTTGAAATATTGCACACCTGAAACCACAAGATTAAAATTTTTATAACACGTTGAGATCATAGTAAAATACTTTTACAAGATCTCAAGAATATCTGCAAAGGTCACCTAAGCAGGACCTTTTGAGTCCATATATAAACATTAGGTAGAGTAATGTATGTATCATAGGTTATTAGCAAATCTAAATTCCTAAAGTAAAAACACTATCACAGATTTATATGGGAAACTAGCGAAAGAATAACAAATGTTCATATTGAACCAGGTAATTCAGAGTATGTTCCTAAACTTTTTTCTTGTTTGTGACTACATTGCTGTGTTCTGTGTAAAAAAGCAATGGAAAACATTTATCATCTTTAAATTCACTGTCCTACAATTACTTTCAGGGTGTGATTTTATGCATTCAGGAAAGCAAAAATTATCGTAGGCAGAACCTTCTCCTAGTACCTCTTTGACGTTGGAGAAAATTTTTAAGCTTTCATTGGCAGGTAAAAGTTGTAAGTCTTACGGACATGTCTAGTATTGGCTGGAAAGAGCTGACATGATTGTTGATAACTATGGGGAGACTGACAACAGTTTCATGGCATACAGTTCGCTTTTTCGCTTCGCTATGTGCATTAATCACAATTGAATTTAAAGATATTTTTTTTCTTCCTATATTCTTCTTAGAATCTGAGAAAGCTTAATATAGTTAGCTTAAGTTATCAAAAAAAAAATCAGTTCCTCATAACCCTTATTTCCAATATTCTACAAAAATCTCACCAAAGCAAAATAATATAACCAAACAGAATAGCATTATCTTCAAACACAACCAAAACTTCAATAAAAAATGACCCATTTACCAACAATTCATCAATCAAAACATTGAATTTAAATTCAAATGCAATGCGAAAAAATGAACTTACAAGGCAGTGATCTCCTCAGAAAGAAGCTCATTTTCACCACCATTATGAGAACACTGATCTTTCAATTGAGCTCTTCCTTTACTTCTCCTCCCACTCCCTCCTCCTCCTTTCTTCTTCTTCTTTGCCATTGATACCAGGATTTATGATAAACCCCAGAACCCTTTTTGCACAGTGAATTAATTTTGATAAATCCAAGAACCCTTTTGTTATTTACAAAACGTCACCAAATTAAAACACTGGCAACACTGAATACAAAAATCCGGCAACAAAATAAATAGCAATAAAAAAAATTCGAACCCGGTTCAGCTTTAGTATCAAATAAACGAACTGTTAAAATATGCAGAAACAGATGAATTAGATAAACCCAGTTACCCAAGAAGCCTTTCTTTTTTTGTGTGTGTGTTTTGAAAATAATTATTATTATAGTTATAATAAAGAATTAAGAAGGCAAATGCGATTGGAATAAGACAGGTTGCGTCAAAGAATTTGCCCGGAGACCGAGAAGCTGGTGGCGCACTGGCGCGTACTTATTTTTATTTATTTAAGGCGACTGCTACTATAGCTACATCATTGGGACACAAGATCTTTAGGTTCTTGTAATTAAATTGAATTTCTAATTAATTTGACTTATTTTGTGAGAAATAACCAAAAAACAATTATAATAATTTGGAGATTTTTTAGGAAAAAAATAACCATCTCAACTATTTAATTTTATAATTTTACAATTTTTAATACGTTGGAAAAATTTGTTTTTTGAGTCTAACGGTTTATTTTTATTTTTTTTTCCCTTATAAGATATTTTAGAATTAACCCATCCATATCGTGTATCGAAAAAATAAAAAAAATCCTAATAATTATAAAAAAAATTAAAATATTAAATAATCTCTTACAAAATTATGAAAGTATTTAATATTTTTTAAACGAAACTGATAAATTAATACTGAGGGAAGGAGAGGAGGTGAAATAAACCCTTCAAGTTAATAGATTACTTTGGAACAAATTTATCTTTTAAGTTAATGGTTTAATTTTATTATCTCTAAGATATTGGATAAACAATGAATAATAAAAGAAGATAGAAGCAAAGACATTTAGGTGGTGTCTGTTTTTGTATTTAAAAATTCAATAGAACTGAATTAATTTATAAAATGAATAGATCTTAATAGTTGAATCTCAGCTATATATATATTTTTTTTTTTTCGTTTTAAATTTTATTAATTTAAAAAATGCAAGAGTTAATAAGCTGACAAGGCTTGTTTTATAATTTATAGTCAAAGGTCTAACATGGTGTTTATAATTGCTGAATCTCGATATCTCTTCTATTCTCAATTACGTTTCTATTGTATTTTATTTTATTTTTATTTTTTTTTGTTTCTATATGGTGTCAGTTTTGTCTGCTTCTGCTGACTTAACAGGTATACTCTTTTCTACTTCTCAATTCATGAAGCAAATGCAAAGCCAAGTTATAACACTGGTAATATATTTCAGCTGTTCTGTTACTATAACCCAAGTTATAAAAATGGTGGTCATTTTCAAACTTCGATTACTCTGCACACTCCACCAAACTCACCATGATGAATGACAACCACAAAGCTCCAGAAACATTGTCCCATATATATGCACTTCTTCTACAAGTTTGAGAACCTTTTGTTCCAAGTGCAAATTTTTTAAAAACTTTGGTAGATTAGCCATACAATTTTCCTTCTATAATGGTCATGAAAAAAATAATAGATCAATTGCAGAAAAGAAACTAACTTTGGAACCCATTCATTGCAGCAAACACAAGTGGAGTCTAGACCATTCACAATCAACAAACAGAAAGAAACATGGTTAGAAGCGAGGGCACAGAGGTTTTCGGTGGTGGAGCTATGTCCCTCTCTTTATTTAAATGTATACTCTTCAATTGTTAATGATCAGATCACACACAAATGTATGCTTATATGATATTTGCTTTGAAACCGTCGCTAGGTGATCCAACGATCAACTAGGACTCTTGGGTGTATTACTCAAGAGGTCCTCAATTCGATCAACTTATGTTGCTAAGATGGGTGACTACTAAAGGGATTTATCCGACTGTCAACTTCAAGCCCCAAGGGATTAGTTGCGGTAAACGCAAACTAGTCCAAACACCCCCGATTATCCTTTGGGAACTGCAGGTTTGATTCTGCAAGTGGGTGGTAGACAAATTATGCACATTTGTAGGTACATACTAACCTAGGGACAAAAAAGCTATGGACACCAAAAAATTTGCACTGAAAATGTGTACCGGCCTACGTGTACGCGTGACTCGAATTTTTTATGAATATTTTTCTAGTGAACGACTGTCCATAAAATATGGACGACCATTCACTCACATGGACTCCCGTCCATTTTATATGGACGGGGGTCCATTTGCTACGAACGGGCGTCCTCATTTAAAGGACGTTCGTCCATAAATAAAATACAATAAAATTTTTTTATAAACATTAGGGATGGTCGTCCACCAATTGTGGACAGCCGTCCAAAATGATCGTGGACAGCTGTCCTTTCATTTTGGATGGGCGTCCGTAAATAAGGGACGTTCGTCCTTAACCAAAATATGAAAATAAAAAAAAATAAAAAACTTTGGGGACGGCCGTCCATAAATTTTGGACGGCCGTCCCTTACGTTTGGACGGGCGTCCATTAGTCCATACTTTAAAAAAAAAAAAAAAAAAAAAAATCTAAACTACCTCTTCTTCGCACTTCTTCTTCATCTTCATTCCCCATCTCCTCTCTTCTTCTTGTCCGGTGTTATTCTAAGAATAATGCAGATAGTAACTGTTACGAAGCTCGCTCCCTATAAGAGTGTCTGTCAACTTTGGAAAAATATTATTGAAAGTTCTGCATTCTTGGAAGTTTGCTCCAAGTACTAGGAATCCAGAATAACAATTTCCGGTATAAGGTATGTTTAGGAATACTGTTGCAGCATTACTGAACATGCAAGAGATGAGAAGTGGAAGCTCTACTTGCAGTCATTACTCTCTGCCTCCTCTAAGCTTGCCAGACACTGATATTATTCAGTCATTCCAACTGAACTCACCCATACCCATTCTCTAATAAAATTCAAAATTAAAATAAGTAACCTCAAATTTCTTTTCCCAGTTGCTCGGTATTTATTATGATGCATTTGCAAATTCCTGAATATGTTTTATATGCATTCTCTTGTATGTGTTGCTGGGATCCATCTTATGATCACTCCTTGTCTAGTACTGATATCAACAATCTTATTTCAGTTTTACCGTTTTTACAATCTTCTGATGAAGTTTTCTGTTTCCAAAATCCAATATATAGGACTCTTGGAAGACGACCCTTCTGTTGCGGGTGAAGGAAAAGCTGAAGGCCAAAGAATTGGAGGAGGATGACCTCACCTAAATTTTATACATACATTCATGTACTTTGGTCTTTGTTTACCCCTGGATTATTGTACTTATCGTATTATGTGTTTGTGTCGTCAAGTTACACACAGTCTACGATATCTGCTTTACGTAAATCTACTTGGTTTGGGTTGTAATGGGAGTGGGTACACTTGCAATTATGAACATGTGAGTTTGTTTGTGAATGGATTGCTGTTTACTGATCCTGGGATTTCATACTGAAATAAGGAACTACTTCACAGTATATATAAAGCTGAATGAATTTGATTTAATGAAAAGGATGAAGAATTCATGATGATGAGTTATGTTATATATATGTATCAGGTTTTCAACTTCTGAAGAAGCTGCTTCAGCATTCAATCTAGGATTATGGTTGGTGGGATGGATTTTTATTCTTTTGACTTTTAGTTTCAAATATAGAGCTTCCACTTCTCATCTCTTGCATGTTCAGTAATGCTGCAACAGTATTCCTAAATGAGTAATGCTATGTTTACTTACGAACTTACTAACTGTCTTACTATCCTTTGTTAAAATTATATATGGTACCCGTACTATGCTTATAGTACACATACTATGTTTTATATTTACAAAGGATAGTAAGATGGTTAGTAAGATCGTGAGTAAGCATAACATTATTGTTCCTAAATATACCTTATATCGGAAATTGTTATTCTGGATTCCCAGTACTTGGAGCGAGCTTCCAAGAATACAGAACTTTCAATAATATTTTTTCAAAGTTGACAGACACTCTTATAGGACGCGAGCTTCGTAACGGTTACTATTTGCATTACTCTTAGAATAACACTGGACAAGAAGAAGAGAGGAGATGGGGAATGAAGACGACGAAGAAGAAGAGCGGCGAAGAAGAGGTAGTTTAGAATTTTTTTTTTTTTTTTTTTTTTTAAAGTATGGACGGGTTTTAAAAGTATGGACGGGAGACCATTCCTAATGGCCGCCCGTCCAAATGTAAGGGATGGGCGTCAATTCCTAATGGACGCCCATCCAAACTTAAGGGACGACCGTCCAAAATTTATGGACGACCGTCCCCTAAGTTTTTTTTTTTTTTTTATTTTCATATTTTTGTTTTCCCTTATTTGCGGACGCCCGTCCAAAATGAAGGGACGACTGTTCACAAATTATGAACGACCGTCCCTAATGTTTATAAAATTTTTTTATTGTATTTTATTTATGGACGGACGTCCTTTAAATAGGGACGCCCGTCTATAACAAATGGACCCCCGTCTATATAAAATGGACAGGAATCCATATGAGTGAACGGCCGTCCATATAAAATGGACGGGAGTCCATGTGAGTGAACGGCCATCCATATTTGATGGACGACCGTTCACTAAAAAAATATTAATAAAAAATTCGAGTCACGCGTACACGTAGGCCGATACACATTTTTGGTGTAAATTTTTTGGTGTCCGTAACTTTTTTGACCTAGTAATATTAGCATTGCAATGAGTCTACACATTTCTCCGACTATATATACATATATTCTCATCCCCTTCCGTTACATCAAAGAAATGCCAACTTGTAATTGATAGGCAGTTTTAAAAAGGGGTCATGCCTTGTATCCTTGATTCTTTTCATTGATTTTAGCTTTTCTTCTCATTCTTATTTTGTACAAGACGGCATGGTAGAAGCTTCTCCCCCTGTTCAAATAAAAAATTTCCAATGGGAAAGGGCATCAATGTCACTAACACAATCTGAGACTTGAAAATTGCAGTTTTAATTATAAACTGAAAGTCTGAATTGCTTCTACATTGAATTCTTCAACAAAAACCAAGCTAAACAAGACTTAAGGGCTTGGTGAGCTTGTCATTCTCCTTTGAGCTAAACGAAACAAAAGGCTTGAACTGAACAATAACCAATGGTTTTATAATCAAATCTGCAATCTGCTGTGAATTTAGATGATATATAGTGAGAGAGTGTGTTAATCTCAAAATGTTTTACTGTCAATAATTTGTTATAATAGGAAAAATTCTTAAAAAAAAAAAATGAAAAATTAAATAGAATTATGGTAGGGATTGAATTGAGCAAACATACCATATAGTCAAAAGGGCGAAAGACTTGATTTGCAATTCAAGAGAGCTTGAGTTTCTTAAATCTTTCATGCAGTGGTTCCTCATCATCATGGGAGTAATGGCTTCGCTTAGCTGTTTCAACATGCTTCTTTGGTACAAGCACTGTGTTTTAGAGAAATCAATTAGTTTTGGTTAACGTCCCTGTTTGCTGCAATTGACTAGAGAATGGGGCTCTTTGACAAAACACCAATTAATGTGATAATTTTTATAATTAATTAAACTATATTAGACTAGAATTTTTTCATGAAACAATTACAGCTTCTTCCTATTATATAGCAATGTTTACCAACATTTGGGAACTTTTGCCCTTGCGAGTGAATCTTATTTTATTGATACGTATTATTCTTCTCTCTAAATATCATCGCTTCTACATAATATTTTATGGTACATCTTGATTGTAGTCAATCTAAGACTAAATATACAAGAAATTGAGAGCAAATTAATTAGATAGAAATAGATTAGAAATGAGATTTGAACTTCCTCACCCTTTAAAAGAATTAGAATTCTTTAAGTCTTTTAGGTTGCGGTTCATCATCATCATCTATAGGGAACTCATTCAATCAAAAAGAGCAAGCCAGTGGGTTGACTTGTACTTGGATTCAACTCTTCCACTTCTTTTATCCTCATACCTTTCGACATCACAATTATTGATACAACAAAACCATCAACAGTATGATCAAATATTAATATATGAAATAAATCAATGCAATTCAAGAAATAAATTTGATTCTATTTTAAAATAAGCAATTAACAAAAGTTACATGCTATAAGTTAGTGAAAATTATTTGAATTTAACTTTAAGTTAGTGCAAAACATAATGATCATAATCAGCTCTACTATTCCAGATGGGTGCATTTTATATATTTGAATTGAACTTCATAATATTTTAAGTCATAGTAACGGTTAGTAATAGTTCTAATTTTTGTCCAAAAAGCATTTAGTTTAATACTTTACTCTTCCAAGTTTTCTAGAAGTTTCCTAGGCACTTACTCTTAAATCATCTTGTGTGTATTCATGTGCCCAATGAATTTAACACCAATATATATTTCTTTATATCAAACTTTTGCACCCGAAAAAAGTGAAAACCCATATTTCTATTCCATTAGGTGAACAAGGTTTTCAGAAAAATGAATTAGGAAAATAAAACAATCATATAATTAAAATTAGTGTGTAAGAAAGCTTACTTATTTTTATAGTTGCATAGTTTCAATCTCTCGGAGTGTGATTCAGTTATATCGATCACTGTTGATCCAACCATTTCATTCAAATCAGAGAAGTAGCAGAACTCCTGATTGCCAATCACGTGCAGCGGAAAGGCCAAAGGATGGTGGTTCATCATTAAACGATCATTTCCATTGAGTTTTAGCCTCTCTTTTAAAGATGAAAGATCTATGGATTCTTCCATTTGTTTCTCAAATCTTGAGGTACAATAAACGAACTCCACACTTTTTCACCTTACAACCTTTATGGATATTTCATCATAAGTGGTAACATTGAAATTGATGATGGCCTTATCACAGAATGTTTTCGATCCGGACCTAAACAAAATCTCCACTAGTACTACACACAATCATATCCCAAGAACACATGATGTATTTTGATGTAGAGAGTTCTATCTCCTTCAAACTACCTTGTATAGACCCAATCAAAAGACTTTTAGACACCATCATTTTCTTCGAAATGCAACTCACATTTAACGAAGAAGGTTGGCCCAAATCTAACAAATTTGGGAATTCTACAACGCTGCAGATAGCCAAACCCAAATTCATATGAAGGAGCCCGGTGGTAGTTTAGCATTTTGAAAGCTAAACCACTCTAGAATTTCACTTCTTGGGAAACTTATACAACCTTTTGGATTCACACATTCATCTGCAATAAAAAATATAACTTGTTAATTTAACATCAAATTTTTTATTCAACAAAATAAAAAAAAAATTGACTTTCTTGATATAGGAAGACCTCTTCATTTTGTGAGCGTAAAATTGTATTTTGTGGAGAATTTAGTAGAGCATTTTTCACATTTATCTGAGTGCATTCCTTTTCAATTTCCAATACCGTGCTTCTAGACACTTTAGATCACATGGACAATTTGACATAAACGAGGCTTGTTAACAACATTTTACATGAAATTTGATATAAATTTGATTTGTTAAGTGACTTCAGAATGTCTATAAAATTATGTACCACATGAGATGAGAAGATTTAGTACTACTTAAGATACTATAATTACTTTTTATTAGACAAAATAAATTAAAAGAATCGAAAAACATTATGGAGCTGAAATAACTCTTTATTTTTACCTTAAGTTGCATATACCATCAAACGGATTTGAAATTTGGAATTTATTAGATTGCAGTTCATCTTTCTCTTTCTCATGCCCTTTCTTTTTAGCACTGTCAACACTTCTTCTGAATGTTTCCAATGGTTCTTCATAATCTTCAACATATAAAATGAATCCCACACTTTTTCACCTCTGCCCCTTTAGCATAAAATTTGATGAGCACTTTACAATTTGATGACATCATCTTATGACGAATTCTATCATGTTGCCAATAATATTGACACTCTCTAAACACCAATTCCGTTATAGAATGAAAACCAAATAATACATGATCTGACTAGATATGCGCAAACATAGGAAATCTAGTTCTAGTTCTAATTCTATAAATCTGCTCCATACCATTTTCACTTTTGACCAAGCAATAACAGGTAACAATGTAAGAAGGAACCAGATTGTCCTTATTTGGAGAAACACAATAGATGCAAGAAAACCTAGAAAGTTTTTATTATGCCAATCTAGTGACTATCGAGAGTTATATAAGGTCCCGTATTTTGAAAGGTAAACCACTTAAGAATTTCATCTCCAGGGAAACAGATACTAGCACAAAATCCTCGACAAGATTCCTGTACCAATGAAAAGAAAATCATCACATAACAAGTTTTAGTTCTATATATATATATATATATATATATATATAAATAATATTATTATATTATTCTATATATTATATATATTATAATAATTAATATTGTTATTGTACTTTTAAAAAACAACTAACATTATAAAAAGGGAGAAAGGATAAAGAGATACCTTATGAGATTTTTACTAAATCCAATTTAAACAATTGGCAAAAGTTGTTTCCCGTCGTCTCCAATGAGGTAACAATAGAAATGATGGATCTGATATTGATTGCAAGGATGAGCAGTCAAATGCTATCACATCGTACACCCATTGGAAACTCTGGCAAAAGTTGAAGTCTCCGACAATTACTTATGTCTAGCAATCTCATTTAGAAAGCCTTTTGATGTTTTCTGGTATGCTCTCAAAATTATTTTCACATAGAAATAAGTTTTCTAGAAAGAAATTGTCCAAGATTGTCAGGTAATTTGGTCATTTGACAGTTTGACAAATTAAGAGATACCAGAGTTTGAACCTGACAAAGAATTCAATACCCAATTCAAGGGTGCCGGTTCATCTCGACATAGTTGTAATCTACGAAGTTTTGGCAAGTGTAAAATGGATAGAGTACTTCTTTTATGATTGTTTCTCCAGTATTGAGCTCCTCCAAAGCTTCTAAATCTCCAAAGTCATCGTTAATCTCTCCAATTTGATGCAGCCGAAAAGATTAAGCTGTTTGAGATATTTCAACTTACAGATGTTGCTTGAGAGACTCTCAAGCGACGAACAAATATTAAAATCAAATACTGAAGATTTGAGGTCTTGAGAGATTTGGAATCTCTGTCATGTGCTCGAGAAACTGAGATCACCTATTTCAAATTTACAAGATTCTGTAGAAAACAACAAATGACCAACTCATATTAGTACCTTGTATTTTTATAATTTTCAACAAAAGACAACAGTATAAATACCAAAATATACTTACCTGAAAACCGTTCCAATGTTTAACTTTGTTGTTTTGCATAACAAGTTTAACAAGACTCTCTGAAGGAAAACTTAATGGCAACGATTTAAATGGTAATTATTCCAACCAAGAATGTAATGTCATCGGAAAGGATTCAAGTTCTTCAAAACCATCCAACTTAGCTTCAGAATTATCTTGGTCTTGCCAGTCTTCATAGCCATCTTCGTATTTTGAGTTGTATACTCTGAAGAATCTTAAGTTATCCATCTTTGACAAAACATGACAATTTAAGCCTGCATTGCTTATTTTAGATATGTCCAAGTTTATGCTTCGTACTGCTTCATTTTCCCTAACAGTCAACAAAGATGATCGTTAGCATACAAGAAGATACTCCCATTAAATCCAACTAATTAATTAACGTTTGCTAACCATCAATGTTAACCTAATCAAATTAATTTAAGCTTCATACGTAAGTTAAGATAAAAATTTATTTTTTATAAAAATAAATTATGAATCAATTACAACAAATACTCTAGTGAATAGAAACATTGAGTTGACTAAACAAATAAAGATAACGAATTTCAGTAGTAGAGATTAAAATAAATAGGATAACAATAACAATAACTATTCGATAATAGTCTTCAAAGTAAGGCATATTATTTTAATTTTTTTTTTTTATGTATTTAAGCTTTCTTTGAATTGAAGAAAGGAAATAATTTTAAATTAATTGTATGACAATAAACAATTTACAAAAGGAAAAAAAATGTAATATGAAGTTTGACTTATAAGTAAAATAAAAAACATTAATCGATAATAAAAAAACATTTTTCTTTTTTGGCAAGCGTCTGGTACGTGGAAGACTTATTAGATAATAATAATAATAAAAAATACCCATGATCTCTTATTAGATATCCTTAAACCAGACGTTAATTTAAAATTTGTGTAAAAATGTAAGCTCGCTCTCAAAGTATCTGTCTATCTATATATATTGTACAACTAGCCTTTACCTTTCTTTTTTAAATGCTTGAAGATATCCATATGATGACATAGTCGAATGTGTTTGCAACTATCATCCCGAGCAATTTCCCTACCCATTTCTTGAACGCAAATCATGCATTGTTATTTTATGTAGTATGTCACAACACGAGACACTTGTCAATAAGAACTTGTATTCCATTCTTTGCAGAAATGTCACAAGCATTTAGGATTTCTATCACTGAATCTATATGATCCCCTTTGAAGAAACATGCAATATCTAAAAATAAATCCTTCTCTTTCTCAAGTCCATCATAACTAACTCTTAATACCTTATGATATCCAAAGGAAGACCTTTTTCTAGTTCTTTTATTGCACTTTCCCAAAATTCTTTTCCCTTGGAAAACAAATAGAGCCCAACACTTTCAGAGCCAAAGGAGACATTTGGTATATGAAATTGCTTTGTTCGATAGCTCCATATAATCTTCAATAGGAGAGTCTTGTTTAAAGGCATACCGATTAAAAAGTTGATGAGCTTCCTCCTCCCTTAGTCCCTGAACCTCATATATATAAGCATCATCTACTCACAATTTCTCAACACTTGTTTATCCTTGTTGTTATGATATTTGACTTTTTGAACTCAACCAATTAAGATTTCCAATCAAATTTTCTATTTGCTGTAAAGATGTCACATCTCAAACACAATGAGAACCTTTTTATCTTTAAGTCTTTTTTCTTGTGAAGGTAAGTCCTATTTGGGATCTCTATCCTCTAATATTGTGGAAAGAAGTTCTTTTTTCAAGTGAGTTAATCCACTACTTTCCTCCGACTCTTCCCTAACATTTTCAACAAAATAGGATCCTTCAAAATGACTAAAATTTTGTTGAATACAACACGGGCAATAGTTGTCTTGCCAACACCACCTATGCCCAAAATTCCTATTTTGGAAACACCACTTGATCCATTGTGCAACAAAGACTCTATTCTTTTTATGGCAAATTCTATTCCAATCAGGTCCGTATAATCACTTGGAGAATTTATTTAGTCTCATCAAAATATCGTCCAAAGTTTCATCTATAAGTTTAGATTCAGACCTAAATATAAACAACAAAAAAACTTTAATTATTTAGAAATTATGTTTTTAGGTTTCATTCAATTCAAGCGTTAGGAAATTGTTAAGACATAAAAGAATTACAAAAAGCGAAATATTATGGAATTAAAACTTACTTTTGATCATTAATAGTCCAGCCAGCTAGACTACCTCTTCATTCAAAGCAGTCTTCCATCTCTGCAGCATCTCAATTTCTGCTTAGTATGTTTTTCAAGCTCAGCAAATCCATCTCCAAAACTCAGTTTGATTCCTTACATCTGATGGATCTACGTGATAGAAAACTGGTATAACAATCTGCTCATCTATTTTCTTGCAATGAAGGATTTGTTCGAGTTCTTGGAGGCACCATCTAGAAGTTGCATAATTTTTTGAGAAAATGATAACTGAAATCTTTGACGCTTTAATGGTATTACAAGAAATGATGAAAT